CCGGCCGAAAAGGGTCAGCAGTTCTTGAACATCTTCATTGTCGTTGTCACCATTATTGTCGTTGCCGTGCCTGAAGGCTTGCCTCTTGCCGTCACCTTGGCTTTGGCCTTTGCCACCACCCGCATGTTGCGCGACAACAACCTGGTTCGTCACCTCAAGGCTTGCGAAGTCATGGGCAATGCCACCACTATTTGCTCGGACAAGACTGGTACCTTGACCCAGAACAAGATGCAAATCGTTGCTGGCACCGTTGGCACCACGCATAGGTTTGGTGGTGTTGGCTCTGCCGGTGGTCTCAACCCCGAGACTCCGGAGAGCCCGACTGAGGCCGACGTCACCGCAAAGGAAGTTGTCACCTCGCTTGATGCTTCTGTCAAGGAATTGCTTCTCAAGTCCATTTCTCTCAACTCCACTGCTTTCGAAGGCGAAATTGACGGTGTCAAATCTTTCGTTGGCTCCAAGACCGAAACCGCCCTTCTCGAGTTCGCCAAGGAGCATCTTGCCATGGGCCCTATTGCTGAGGAGCGTGCCAACGCCAAGATCTTGCATCTGATCCCTTTTGACTCTGGACGCAAGTGCATGGGCGTTGTTGTGGCGCTTGACAACGGCAAGGCACGGCTTTATGTCAAGGGTGCCTCCGAGATCATGCTGGAAAAGTGCACCCAGATCCTGCGCGACCCCTCCAACGGCATCACTGCTGGCCCCTTGACCCCGGAAAATCGTGAGACCGTCTTGAAGCTCATTGAGACATATGCGAGAAACTCGTTGCGCACCATCGGCATCATCTACCGAGACTTTGCTCACTGGCCTCCTGCCAAGGCGCGCCGTACTGGAGAGGACAAGGAGGAGATCGTTTTCGAGGATATTTGCAGCCAGATGACCTTCGTCGGCATGGTTGGTATCAAGGATCCTCTGCGCCCTGGTGTTCCCGAAGCCGTCCAGCTGTGCCAGAAGGCAGGAGTCGTTGTTCGCATGGTTACTGGTGACAACAAGATCACTGCTGAAGCAATCGCCAAGGACTGTGGCATTCTTCAACCTAACAGTCTCGTCATGGAAGGTCCCGAGTTCCGGAACCTCAGCAAGGCCAAGCAGGAAGAGATTATTCCCCGGTTGCACGTACTTGCCCGCTCCAGTCCTGAGGACAAGCGCATTCTGGTCAAGCGTCTCAAGGATATGGGCGAAATTGTTGCTGTGACCGGTGACGGAACCAACGATGCCCCTGCCCTGAAGATGGCCGATGTCGGTTTCTCGATGGGTATTGCCGGTACTGAAGTCGCAAAGGAGGCATCCGCTATTATTCTCATGGACGACAACTTCAACTCGATTGTCAAGGCACTGAAGTGGGGGCGTGCTGTCAACGATGCTGTGAAGCGCTTCCTTCAGTTCCAGCTTACTGTCAACGTTACTGCCGTCATCCTCACCTTCATCTCTGCTGTCTCCAACAAAGAGCAGGACTCCGTCCTTACCGCCGTGCAGCTTCTGTGGGTTAACCTGATCATGGATACTCTTGCCGCTTTGGCGCTCGCCACCGATCCTCCTTCCGACAGTGTCTTGGACCGCAAGCCTGAACGCAGGGGTTCTGGCATCATCTCGACGACCATGTGGAAGATGATCATCGGTCAAGCCATCTACCAGCTGGCCATCACCTTGTTGATCTATTTCGGCAAGCAAGGCGTTTTGCCCAACTACGATGACAACGTTACGGATGATCAGATCCAAACTCTTGTCTTCAACACGTTTGTGTGGATGCAAATCTTTAACCAATGGAAGTAAGTAATATAAAATATGTCACTGCCACCCAAAACATGCCGCTAACCGCATTCAATAGCAATCGTCGCTTGGATAACAACTTTAACATTTTTGAAGGCCTCACCAAGAACTTGTTTTTCCTGGGCATTTCCGCCATTATGATGGGCGGTCAGGTCTTGATCGTCTTTGTCGGTGGTCAAGCCTTCTCAATTGCCAAGGAAAAGCAAACGGGAGCCATGTGGGCGTACGCTCTGATCCTGGGCTTCATCTCCATCCCTGTCGGCATGATCATCCGTCTCATTCCCGACTCACTGTTTGAGCGTATGGTGCCCGAATATATCAAGAGGAGGGCTAACAAGACGCCCGACTTGACCGTGTCTGATGATGAGCGGTTCGAGTACTACCCGCCGGCTTTTGCCGAGGTCAGGGACGAGCTGGCCTTCCTGAAGCAGTTCAAGGGTGGACGTATCAACAACCTCAAGTTCGCCATGAAGCATCCTCGCGAGACCTTCATGCCCAGGAGGAGCGCTTCCCACAGCAGGTCCAACTCCAAGTCCAACTCGATCAATGTTCCTATGACACCGATCCGCAAGGATAGCACCGGCGGCGCTCCTTCCATCGCTCCCCCTACACCTGATTCCAGGAGACGGAGCAGAAGCACGCGGTCCAGGTCCAACAGTGCTCTCGGAGCATCCATGGTAATGACTGGTATCATCGCTGGCAGTGTTGCCGCTGGATGGGCGCCGTCACCTGTGGAGCGCCGGCCGGATTCCGGTTTTGGCCTGTTCCCTCCTAAGTCGAGCCCACATGCCGAGTCTTCGCAATCTGAAGTGCAGCCCTCGCAGCGGTCTCTTACTCCTTCGATCAATGAGGAGCAGGAGACGCCCGATATCGTCCCCAGCATCATGGAGCAGACTGTTCCTATCCTCAGCGTGCCTAAGCCACCAGGGCATAAGTCGGCCTGAATGGCAGGATATCTTGGAGTACTGGACGGTCAAAGGGAACGAGTTTTAGATACCCCATTTTGAATCTAACTCGATTTGGTAACCCTTTATTTGTTCTTTGTTATTTTTTATACCTCTTCACTACATTTTCTGTCGATTGATTCGTTGTAATACTAGTTGTACACAACGGTGTTCATGCAACTAAGAAAAAAGAGAGAGAGAGAGCTCGGTGGGAGAGGAGGAAGTGGTTAAACAAAACACTCGCTCGGATTTATGGGACTTTGCAAGCTCGGCGTTTGAAGTTACAGGTCTTTTTTGGGGTGTTTTGTCCTTGTTGAACAAAGCAGGTTATATACACTGTACGGGAGCAGAGAAGGAGTGGGAAAGGAGAGTCGAGTGACTGTGTGGTTATCAAACGAAGGAAGACTTTGACGAGTATAGTATGCATACGTTTGTTTTAATGCTGTTGCGGCAGTAATACGTTTTTGGGGAGGAATGAGGGATGGATGGACATGAGATAAAAGACGCGGAATATCGATACCCCTTGTCCACACGACATTCCTTGTACGTATTTAGTTTTATGATTCCAGAGTACTGGTAGAAACCAACAGCGGAATCTACATATGAAGATAAACTTGACTAGCTGAGATTGAAGCTTCTGGTGATGCGTTGATGTGTGATGCTTCTCTGGGACTGATCGGTGCTACAGGGTTGAGTTAGTAGACTAACAAGGCGTTGGAAGGCTGGTGAACTACAAAGTTAAGCACCCGCTGGTAGGCGATGGTGATGGCATGACACTCGTACATCACCATCTTCAAAATTCAAGATCTTTGTCCAGTAACACAAATGTGAATAGCCGGGCAACTTGGAACGTTCACGTCACTTTGTGGTGTTTGGCACACAGTCTCGCTGCATGTCCCCGCCCGGCGTATGGTAATATGATGGCACGGACTGGTGTTAGACTGTTAACAGCACTGCCCTGATTGAAGAGAAATTAGACCAGTTACCATAGAGCCTCGGAGCTTAAAAAAACAGTGCTGTACACTGCCCTGGAGATGCAATTGCGATTCCGTTCCATCCACTCGACACTCATCCTGCGAACGGCAACACCCTCCATCCGGATGAACAGGCGCGGGAGCAACAATCCCGTTCATCGTCGAGATACTCTACCCCAGTCGACTTGCTCTTTTTACTCTCTTGCTTCTTGCAATAACTGTCCTGTGTCCAAGGCTTAAGCTTAGAACTGAACTGACCGGGACTAATTGCTTGGCTTGCTTGGAGGTCGGCAACAGTGTTGATGTGCAGAACATCGCTCACTACCTCTATCCATCAAGCCAAGAACGAAACCATCGCATTACTTGCAGGCCAATGTCAATCGCCGTCGTTTCCTTCTTAGGTAGCCTTCCTCTTTGTCAATTGTATCATTGCATCTTGATGGGCTGCCCGTATAACGCTCTTCGTAGACACGCACATTCTCGAGAAGATTGGGGAAATAGCAGGTGACAAATTGCTGGAAGCCGGTTTTCTCAGTTGACGTTGTTCAACTGAATGGCAGGACTTGCTGGACCTCACAGGCTATCCCGTTACTGACTACGATGCGATATCCACTTTCTTTCTCTTTCCGTGTCTCCCTAAAACGATCGTCTCGTCTTATTGCGCTCGTTCGTAATTGTCTCTCCCTTTTTATTTTTTTTTCTACTTTATTGTTCTCTTTCTTTCCCCAGTCGAGGCCCGATTCCATCTCTCCCTTTTTTTTTTCCCCCTTCCTTCCGTTTCCACTTTCGAACAAGTCGGCCTCCAATTCACGGAACCATCTAGACTCCCGGTCTATCCATCTCAACGCCGGCTATTTCCAAGATTTCCGGAGACCTCGTCGTCGGCGACTTTCCTTTACAGCGCAAAACCACCACCATCATCGCGCGCTTTTATCAACTTCCTAATTCCCCCGGCTTTTGGCACTCTCACCTCTTTACCTCTCTAAACTCTTTTTATTGAGCCCTTTGGATCATCATCGGTCTTAGCGGCCCCATTTCACGCCTTTACCACCCTTTGTATCTTGGGTGTCTCTTTGCCACTTCCATCCGCAAGGGTAACTTGGAACTTCCACATTCAAGTGACTCTGCCAGGGCAACCAACCGGGAACTGGGGCAATTCCTTATTAGAGTTTTACCTCCTTTTCGTTTTCCTTCAATAGAATCGCTTCATCAACTTTTCCACTTCCTCTACCAGAACGCGGGAACGGCAAGGACGGACGCAACCACTTTTTGCTTCCCCCTCTCCCCTTTCTGCCTGCTGTGCGCGTCACGCCTTTTACGTCAGGCAACCTCGTCGTCACCATACCGGGCTTGCTGAGAGCAACAACACACAACTAACTACTCACTCCTTTCACACACGGTCACGGTCACCTAAAGTACTCACTAACCTCTTGACCACCTCATCATCCGTCACCCACAATCACAACACACCCCTGCCTTATTTACCTCATTAACTCTCGAACCCACACTCGGGCCTTCACCGCTCAACATTCCAAAAATTACCTTGAACGCATTTCCCTTTCATCATCGCTGTTTCCATCGACGTCCTCCATAATAAGCAGACGCAAGCGGTATCAAGGATTTTCAGATTTTGAGTTCCCCAAGAGTCGGAAAGAAAGAGCGCAGAAAGAGAGAAAAGATGGATCCCTCGCGTCGCGGGGTCGTCAACGGCGCAGGGGCCGCCGCCGCCGCCGCCGCAAGTGGCAGCAGCAGCAGTAACAGCAGCAACAAACACGGCAGCAGCAGCGCCTCGGGGCCCGCACCGAAAAAGTCGAGCAGAATGAAGGAGGTGGTCAACTACGACGAAAAGAAACATTTGCTCGACTTGGAGGAGGACATTACGCACCCAGTTGCGCACAGGCAGCTGAACGAGCTGGAGGAACATGTCAACGATCTTCATGAGTCGTGGGAGACGGAGTCCATTTTTGAGGAGATTCTGGAGGACATCACGGAGGACAAGTTTTTCACTGATGGTAGGTCTCACATCTCTCAACCAGTCTCAGATATGAGGTTCGCGGGTTTTGTTCTTCTGGCAAGGCTTTGATGGCTTTGCAGGCGCAAACGGGCCATTTTGAGCTTCTTTCAGTTCGTGAACTGAGGGTGAAAATGGGTACAGTGGAACGGGTATAAAGCATTGCGTCGGAAGCGGCGGAAAGCGCGAGGGAACTTGAAACACTGGTCAAATGCTGTCAAGAAGGCATTACGCTAACTATGAATTGCTGCTTAGATCCTGAAGCTTGCACTCCGGAGGAAGCGGTCGAGTATCGACGACTTCTTAGGCTGGTCGGACCTAAGGTGTTCGTCCAGCGAACCGTAGACGCAGGCGTCATTCCCATCAAGAAGCTCCTCACAGCCTTTGGCATTCGTCCGCCCGCCTTCCTGGAAGGCGCAGGCGATGATGCCTACTTCAGCCTTCTCACGCTGGCCATGACCCGCGAAATTCAAAAGCGGGCAAAGCTGATGAAATACAACACCATCGATGACGCTGTGGAGCTGCTCAAGCGGTCCAAGAACATCATCGTCCTCACCGGTGCCGGCATCTCCACCTCGCTTGGAATTCCCGATTTCCGCTCTAAGGGCACCGGTCTCTACTCCAAGCTCGAGCACCTCGGTCTCAGCGACCCCCAGGAGGTCTTTGACATCAACATTTTCCGCCAAGACCCCAACATCTTCTACTCGGTGGCGCGCGACATCCTGCCCAACACGGAGCGCTTCTCGCCGACACATGCTTTCATCGCCCTCCTCCAGCAAAAGGGAAAGCTGCTAACCAACTACTCGCAAAACATCGACAACCTCGAAGCCAAAGCGGGAATCCACCCGGACAAGCTCGTGCAATGCCACGGCTCCTTCGCCACCGCCACCTGCGTAAAGTGCGGCTACAAAGTCCCCGGCGAATCCATCTTTCCCGAAATCAAGGCCGGCCGCATCCCGCGCTGCCGCAAGTGCGCCCAAGGCAGCCGCACAACCAACAACTCGTCTCGCAAGCGCAAGCTCCTCCGCGACGGCACCGAGAAGAAGCCGCGCCGCGTAAAGCCCGGCGAGTACGACAGCAATTCCGATTCCGAATTCGACCACCACAACAGCAACAACAACAACAGCAACCACTTCTCTTCCGATCCTTATTACTCGTCCGAGCACGGCTCCAACACGATGGGATGCGGGGTTATGAAGCCTGACATCACCTTCTTCGGCGAAGCCTTGCCGGACGAGTTCTCGACGCGACTTACGGAGCACGATCGCGACTTGGTCGACTTGGTCATCGTCATTGGCACTTCGCTCAAGGTCGCCCCCGTCTCCGAAGTCGTCCCCTTTTTACCACCGCACATTCCGCAAATCTACATCTCGCGCACGCCCGTCTCGCACGTCAACTTTGACATTGACCTTCTCGGCGACTGCGACGTGGTCGTCTCGGAACTGTGCAAGCGCGCCGGGTGGGACCTGCAGCATGAGATGATTCCAGAGAACCAAGTGATTCGCACGGAGCTGGCCGAGGGGTATAATTCCCGCCATGTGTTTACGCAGGTGGAGCCCAAGCCGAAGCCGACGGTGGTTGCGGAGCTGACGCATCATTCTACCCCCAAGGAGGTGGCCAAGGAGCAGAGAGAGGCGAACCGCGAGGAACGTAGGAGGAAGAGGGAGGAGAGAGAGCGGGAAATGAGGGAGCAGGAGGATATGAAGGCTGCGGCGGAACGGGTGAAGAAGTTGGAGAAACGGGCGGAGAAGGAGAGGAAGAGGGAGTTGAAGGAGAAGGAGAAGGAGAAAGAAAGGGAGGGGGCTATGCAAGATAAGGAGAAGGAAGGGAAGAAGGAAAGTGTTGGTAAGGTGCAGGAAAAAGGTGTTGCAAAGGAGAAGGGAAAGGGGGTGGAAAATGGAAAGTCGGGAGAAGGAAAAGGAAGCGAGAAAGGAGTCGATAAGTAGCGTTTCTACTGTTTTTAAGAAAGAGGAAACATTCCATGGTTTGGTAGGGACGGATAGGGAATGGTATGGCACGGTAGGGCATGGTTCGGATCGGGTATTTCAACTCATTCATTGTTCGAGGCGTTTTTCGTGCGGGTTATTTCTCATCATAACAAGAACAACAACACCTCAATGGTTCAGGTCAGGGTCCGGCTAGGTTCGTTAGGTATACTACACAAATGGAGGAACGAAAATGAATCGAGGTTCAAATGAAAAGAGTGGATTGGATGTTTGAGTAGTAGCCTTGTAAATTTATTTTCAAGTCAAGTGTGTTAGATAAAGTATTCAAAATAATCTGTTATCTGCGCGCCAGGGAGTAAAATACTTTTCCAGATGAAAGAAGAAGAAAAACATCAGTCAAATGAGAGGAAGATAGGACCAACTGAGGAGCATTCAAGTGAATGTAAAGCAATGATTGATACCCGCGGTTCTTTTTCACCTTGCTACTACCTATTCACCTACCATTCACTCGTTCCTCGCTCGTTTCGTTGTTTTCATCTTACATACATCCTAATCAGTCCGGTCGGTCGGTCGGTCGGTCAATTCTTCACTTTATCCCATCCTCATTCCATCCCATCCAACATAGAGGTACCTACCAAAACTTACACAACCCATCTATCCCAACAACCAACGATGGCACACCTCGCAACCGCAATACCATCCACCCATCATCAGTTGGCGACAACAAAACAAGACCAAACAAAGCTTCAAACCGAACAAAAAAGAAGAAAAGGAAAAAAAAAAAAGAAAGTGAGTCAAAGAGGGATTCCATCAAAATTGAAACAGCAAAAAAACAAAAGAAATGGGTACTTGATGCCCACAGCCAGAATCGAACTGACGACCTCATCATTACTAGTGATGCGCTCTACCACTGAGCCATGCGGGCTTTGATTGGTTGTTATCAACGGTTACGAAACCAAACCTTAAGTAGACAGCTGCTACTGTCATCGCACTGTGGAAGACCACAACGAATAAAAACAGAGTCTGAAAACAAAAAAAAAAAAAAAAAAAGAACAAAAAACTGCGATGCGATACGAGTGACATCTTCAACTTTGCAAGCATTTTGGTATGAGTGCCTATAAGTTTGAAGTAGGTAGGTATATATAACATTCAACCTCAGTGCTTATAAATTTGTAGTAGGTATAAAATAAAGAAGAGAAAAAAGGAAGGGAGAGACACACAAAGAGAGAAGCAAGCCATATCCATTAACACCAGTTTATGTAATGTATCCATTCCTTATGTTTGTGTTGTGTTGTGTTGTGTGGTCATTCAATTCATCATACAAGAGAAAGATTCAAAGTTATCCGAAACCCCATCCATCCATCCTTATCCATCATGTCCCAAGCAATGTCCCAATCAAAAACAGTTGAAGCCGTACCATACCAGACATACCATACCATACCAGTCTATAAAGAAAAACCTCTGCTGAAGAGCCATCCATCCATCCATTCAGAGTACAGACGTCAACGAAGCCGAAAGATACCCTATCGATCGATAGACCGATAGACCAACCGACCGCCGTAGTATATCCAGACATCACATGCCACAACCTCTTCGCAATTCCACTACACTACTACAAACCCACCCCACCTCAGCAACATGCATCCATATCCTAATGCATGGTCCATGCACATTTCTCCTAAGAATCATATCCAGCAGTGCAATGTGCCCGGACAAAAAGATCATTTCAAAACAATCAAGTCATCATCATCATCCTCACTCAACACCACCTGCCTCCTATTCTTCTGCGCCGCACTCATCAAAAACCCCTTGTCCCCCAAACTATCCCTGCCCGCCTCTCTGATCCCCTTATCCGTGACGAACCGCGTCTTTTTTCTGACAGGCGGTTGCGACCCTTGCGAGTGCCCGTCGGCAGCAGCAGCAGCTTGTGCAGCGGCGGCTGCTCTCGCGGCTGCTAGACGTGCGGAGGCGGAGACGCCGAGGAGGCGAGAGGAGGATAAGGAGGAGTGGTGGTGGTGGTGGGAAGTGGTGGGACCGTTGGTGGTGGTTGTAGGACCAGAAGAATTATTGGGGGCGGCGGAGAAGCGGACGGCGGGCGAGGGGCGGTTGGGGAGGTTGGTCTGGGTGTTGGAGGAGGAGTTTGTAAAGTTGAAGTCTCTAGCGGAGGTGGAGAGACGGTTGATGGCCGGGGTGAGGCCGGTCGAAGCGGTGGTGGACGAGGAGTTGGTGAGGGCGGGGGTGGAATCGCGCATGCTGGAATTACTGGGGCGGTGGGAAAGGTTGAGCCGCTCGCCTTCTTTCATTCTCGAAAGCTTGTCGCGCAGGCTGGAGCCCCAGCCCAAGGAGGGGGCTTTCGTGTTGGTGGTGTAGTTGGAGGGGGTGATGGTTGCGCTGCTGGTAGAGTTGGATTTGCTAAAGCTGTTTTCGCTTGACTGGGCGGACTCGGGACGCTTGCGCTTTATTGGACCGAGATCGATTTTGGGTTGTTCTTCGCCCTTTTTGCGGAGTAGACCGAGGGCTTGGAGATCATATCGGGGTCTGCCGCCAAAGCCTAGCGGGTCATTTGTGCTGTTGCTTTGGCTGTGGCCGGACAGTGACGACATGGGTGTCGAAGCTGTGGCTGACGAGAAGGAGGTAGAGCCTGACATGGGTACTGAATTGGTAGAAGAGAAACTTGCGCGAAGACCACCGGCGGCTCGACTCATGTAATCTCTCCCAGCACCACCACCCACCTCGCCCAGTTTTCTTGCAATCTCAGCTTCCTTCTCCTTCCTCGCCAAGCTTCTCTTGATAGCCTCCTTCTTCTCAGCCTGATCAGCCATGCCACCGCCATCAATGAGCTCCGCGGCAGTACGGTTCATAAAGAAGTGACTACCGGTTGACCGGTCGTATTGACCCCTCAGTCGTATTTCCTCCTCTTTTCTCTTGGCCTCTTCACTCTTGGCGTACCTAGAGTTTTGCTTATATTTGTCTCCAAACCCGAAAGAGTTATTCAATTCCAACCTTCCCTGTCTCGACTTGGTGACTGCTTCGTTGGTATGAAACTCGCAATACTCTGTACGACGGAGGTTGACCCAACTCTTGCAAAGCATGCCATCCTTCTTGATGCTCTTGCAATAGCCTAGGTCGCGCGCATTACCAATCTCCAAAATGGTATCCTCATCGCTGTTGATCACCAACGAGAACCGACCGGTATCTTGCTGCCCCTGTTTTGGCGCCATGATGGTGGGGTTGAGGATGGCGAGAATGGTTCCCGGCGTGAGCTTCCAGAAGCGGTCGAATCCGGAGTTAAAGAGAAACAGTTCCACTTCATACTGAAGATCACAGAGGCTGATGACCATGTACTTGCCGCGTTCTTGCAAGGGCTTGCCATCACTACGATGGCTGCGCGGTTCAGACTTGGTTGCGACGATGGCGAAAACGACTACATCAGACTCGACATCAGGAAGGGACCAGTCAGGCGCCTTGACTTGCCGCAAAAGGTCCTTCAAACCGTAGGTCTTCTTGCCTGTAATAGCGCGAGTGACCACATTATGGGGAAGAATGCGCTTGGACAGGCGAAGACCTGAATAAGGTTCGAAGCCAGGTTCATTGTCCGAGTTGACTTGTGTTGAGCTTGGTTGTGTGAACGATGATGATGCGCTCATGGCTGGCCTTGATGAAGATCTTGCAGTCGCTGACAGGATATCGTCCCGAGAATATTCCGGAGCCTTGTAGGGAACTTCGGGAACGTCCACCGCTTTTGTCTTGTACTCCTCCATCTCTTCCCTGCCAATACTGAAGGCATTACTCCTGATCTTCTGTATCCTCTGTGCTTTTTCCCTGCGCTCCTGCTCTTCGTTCCTGGCGGATGCTAGCCGCTCGTTGAAACTTAAGGGACGTCTTTCTTCTGCCTGCGAGAAAGAACTTGCCCGCCCGTCGAAGCTCACAGGACGACGGGAGCTGGAGCTGGGTTGATCTTGGCTAAAGGATGTCGTCATGGACCGTCGCAAGTAGCCTGACTGTTGGGAGTTCAGATTCTGGGAGGAACGTTCGCTTTCGACCTTTCGTAATGTGGGCGCCCTTTTCAGTGACATGTCGGCCGCTTTTCGTCCCTTGTCGATTCCCAACATGAGCCTCGTGGGGGACTGAGGTGGCTGAGGAGCGGATTCACTACGTCCCCTCCTGACCGGAGAAGCGGGGATCTGAACGGGATTTGACTGTTGTTCCATCCTATCTCTTGCCGCAGCTAACCTTGACTGAATGGGAAGTCCGGCCGGGGGTTGCATCGAGTTGTTGTTGTTGTTGTTGTTGTTGTTGGCCGAAGCGCTTTCTGGTCGGCCTCCATTCGATCGTGCATCCATGGACGAGTTAGCCCTTCTTTGCGCCTTTGCATTTTGTATCTTTTTCAACTTCATGCGCGCTTGGATTTCCTGCAGCTTCAGCTGTACCATCTCCTCGTCTTCGTCATCGTCATCCTCCAGGTCGTCCACGTCAATCATAACGGCGTCCTCATTGTCGGTGTAGCGCGCCGCTAGGGCGGGGTTCGAACGGGACATTCTGAGTCTGGACGGCGACGGGGTGGGCGATGTTTGCATTTCACGAAAGCGCTGGCGGCCTCGCGGGGTGCTGATGAGAGCTTCGTGGGGAGACCGGGGTGGCCAATGTGTCGCCATGACCTTTTGTTGCGTTCGAACACTGGCAACCCGAACCCAGAAAGCTGTTTCCGGGAATGTGATTTGAAGTATGTATCGCCGAGGTGACGGGGATCGTCTCTGCCCAAGGTTATCGAGTAGCCCAATGCGACTCGACTGGACTGGTGGCCCAGGGCAGAAGCGGAAGCCAGGGAGACGGGCACGGGATGGAGAGCGGAGATCGGATTTGGATTATTGACCGGGCGGCGGCGGCGGGGTGGTGTGTGTGTGTGGGTGTGTGTGTTGGTGGTTCAATTCAGGATCGATGTTGCAGGTTCCAGGTTTGCATGCAAGGATGGGACGGGACCAAACCGAAGGGCAGGCTATGGCTGTTTGGGCGGCCAATTAGTGTGCGGCAAGGACGACATTCACAGACATTGGTCGCCAAAGGGAAGGACTGCAGGCTGGATGGTGTTATGCAGGGAGGCGCCCGAGGGTGAGATGGATGGTGCGGTCGGTGGACGTGGCCGGTGGAAGCGGAAGAAGAGATGAACGAGAGAAGAGTTCGGAAATGATCGTAGTGTGGTTCGTAAAAAAAGTGTGTTTAGGTTTGTTTGTTCGTCGGCCCAGTGGAACTCCTAGGTTGGTTGAGGAACTCGAGGCAAATCTAAAGTCATCGATGGTGTAATAACCACACAGTCAGTCAGTCGTGGCGGCCAAGAATAGGTCCAATCCCAAGATAGATGAAGAAGTGCAAACATTGAGCAGCTACAAGAAGTGTAGACGTAACTCTATCTGATCGACAACCGAGGTGCCCGCAATCCACAAGGCTCCATTCAGGCCTTGAGGATTTTTTTTAAGTCTTTCACAATCTTCCAGGCTTTTGGGTACACTTACAGATTATACGTGGACTGTCAAGTCAGGCTGCGTTGCAGTATGGAAGATGGAAAGAAAAGATGAAGATATTTTTTTTTTACCAATGAGTGACCAACTGAAGAAAGTGGATGTCTCACGAGGAGCCACAAATTGACTGACAACTAACGAAAGAAAAAAGATCGAGATCGTGAAATGGTATCAAGGCTGGTTGGTACGTGACAAGTGCAAGGCAAGCAAGTAAGTGCAATGGAAGACTGGATGGATCTGGATCGAAAGGCCCGAATTGGAATGGTGATGTTTGGGTGCAGATGCTTGTTTCTGTTTTGGTGACAAGAGTAGGTAGGGAGAGTGACAGTGGCATTGACAAGCCATCAACAGCGGGCGTGAGTGGGACAACGACAGCGGGGAATTCAAGTATCGACAAGTCGGGCTGAAGATGGAGTGAAGGGACCAGTGAGAAACTCCGAAAGGGCACACTTGTGCTGAAAAGTGGAGTATCATCTCCAAGACAACGCGATCTCGCAAAGCGCAAACGACAAAGTGAAAAGTTGGGGAAGGCGTGTCAGTGGGTCATTTAAACAAGGTGGGGCGCGCTATGCTATGGGAAATCGCGGTCAGTCGCGTCGGTTGGTCTCCAGCGAATCTCGCGATTGATGGTCAGGGGTCCTGCCGCTCACTGTGGAGAGCTGGGTCAGCCATTGGACTCCGGACTTTGGAGGACCCTGGCGATATCCCATCAAAACAAGAACAACCAAAGACACGAGCAAAACATTTTAATCTCGGAAAGAAGAGAGTGCGCAAATAGCCATGCCACGAACAACCCGATCCAAGGCCAGCACCGCAGACTCCCAGGATGCGAAATCCGCCTCCTCCTCCTCCTCCTCCTCCAAGACCAAGTCCAAGAGCACCACCTCCAGCAACAGCTCAATCTACACCCTCGCGCCTGAAGTCGAATCTCCTCCCAGCATCTTCATCCTCCCCAAGTCCGCCACCCCCCAATCCCGCATCGTCACCCTCCAGAACCCGCGCTATGCCAAACCTACGCGCTACCTCGTCTGCCCCGACTCGGGCAGCTTCTACGAGTTCACCAAGATCGCCGCGGCCCAACAGAAATCCCCACGCAGCTGGCTAATCGACAGCGCCAAACTCCCAGACGGCACCACCGCCATCACCCCCGCGCAAACCGCAAAGGACTCGGAGCTCTACGTAGCCACGCAAATCGACCCCCTCTTTCTCGTGCTGCCCGCCCTAGCAGCAGCAGACAAGAAGCAGCAGCGCATGTTCCTCTCGAGCGACGACCACTTTGACGCCGTATCGGAACAGGACAGTGACGGGAAGCGGCAGAACCACCTTTTGGAAGTGCTTAAATGGCCTCAAGCGCGGAACCTGCTAGAGAAGCGTATGGCGGCCGTTTGCGACACCGTAGAGGCGGGCGATGAGACCATGTTCCGGTTGAACGAGAGTAAACTCGTCGAGGAGCTATTATCGAAAGCCAAGCGCATGAGTGAAGGTGGTCTGCCCAAGAGTATGGAAGAGAAGTTTGTTGCGAAAGCATTGGAGGCGCCGATTGTGGGGATTCGGACGACGGTGATTTCGAGGTCGGATACCACTGTGTCCACTGAGTCGCAAGAAGAGACGACGACCACCTCGTCCCTCTCCGAAGCCACCACCGCCGTCGCTACCCCCACCTCCACCTCCGGAGCCGGAACCGGAGCCGGAGCAGAAGTAGTCCCCTCCCTCATCCCCACCCCGGAAATCCTCAATCTCCAACGTCTCCGCGTATCCCTCAACTTCCTCACCTCCTCTTACCTCCCCCCATCCCTCTCGTCACACCTCAAATCTTCTCTGTCCAGTCCCTCATCGGTGGACTTTACCCCCTTAGATGCCTACCTCGCGCAATTAGCCAAGCTCCGCCAAGAAGCGGTGGCGTCGCGGTCGCATAGCGATTTCTCGCGGAAGCGCATAGCGGGAGACGAAGAAGAGGCGTTTGAGCGGGCCGAGAAGAGACGCAAAAAGGAAGAGGAAGAAAAGGCGAAAAAGGCGGGTGTGAGTCGGGGAGTCAAGGAGCTGGCCAAGGTGAACACAAGGGGGATGATGAAGTTGACGAGTTTTTTTCAGAAGAAGACGTAGCAGTTTTGTTTAGATAGGGGAATAGGGGAAAAGGGAAAAGGCAATGATATAATGTGGGAAGGATCATAAAATGGCGTTTTTTTCTAAAGGTTTCAATTAAAAGGTCTGGTTTGGTTTGGGTATCTGTATATCGGTATTGGGTATATGGGGGTTTCTAAAATGACATGGCCTTCTCCTTTGAGGAGTTTTGCAGCATTCTAACATATCCTTCTTCTCGTCATCGTCATGGTTGTGGTCATGATCATAAGCATGTCCAGCACACTTTCATCCCTTCCCTTCCTTTTCTCAACGCGCACTTCCACCTCTTGTTGTACCACCTCTCGCCCCTCTTGTCGTCGTCGTACTTCCACCCCTCGCGCCCCTAGTCGTCGTCGTTGTCCCTCCTCTCCCTCCTCTTACACTCGGTATCCCTGACGTCCCTGTCGCCCCAGCCGGTCGATAAGCCAATCCACTCCTAGTAGTCATGCCCACTCTTCCAGCCGCCGTGCCTGCCGTCCCCGTTCCCGTCCTCCCAGTCCCAACCAAACTTCCCACCCCCGACCCAGACCTGCCTCCTCTCGTCCCCGTCGCACTACTTCTGGTAACTCCAATTCCATACCTCGAACTCGCCACTCCCACGGATCGACTCCTCGGCCTTCCCCTCGTTGGTCTCAGTCCACTCGACGCAGCAGCCAACCGTCTCCGTTCTGCCTCTTCTTCTGCTTTGCGGCGCGCCTCTTCCCGCTTGCGCTCCGCCTCGGCGGCCTTCCGTTCGGCTTCGCGCTGGCGCTCGAGGGCTTCGGCTTCAATTTCGACCAGGTCGGCAGTGGCGCCCTTCCAGGAGGGGTTGAGCAGGAGGCGCTGGTTGTGCTCGGTTTGGGAGAGGATGCGGGTCCAGGTGGTGAGGAGGTGGGAGGCCGAGTGGATGGTGCGGGTTACAGTCTGTTGAAGACATGGTTTGTTAGTAAATTGGCGGGATGGAAGAGAAAGAGGTATAGTTAAGGTTGGGAACGGATGATCGACCCGAGAACCTGTGAACCTGCGAGGGTAAACACATGGAAGGGGGTATCGGAAGAAAGAAAGAAAGAAAGAAAGAAAGAAAGAAAGAAAGAAACAAACAAACATACACCCATATTCCCTTTTGCGCGCTCCAATGTACCAATGACGCCTTCGATTACTTGGTTGATCTTGCGCACTCCTTCTAACTCGCGCTGTAGAGCGGCTTCGCGACTCTCGATGGTGGTGTTGTCGATACCGAATGAGCGGCTACCGCTGCTCTGGTTGGTGCTGGGGTCCTTGGATGTTGAGGCGGCGGCGGCGGCGGCTGCGCTCGAAGCGACGGGGGTTTTCTGTTGTTGCTGTTGTTGCTGCGCTTGCGACGGGGGATGGGCGCGGGAGGTGGGAGGATGAGTGGGCGATGCGAAGAGGGAGGAACCCTCCTCGTCGGAGATTTCCATTCGATCGTCTGACATTTTATTTGGCGGTGCTTCGTTGTCGTCGTCGTCTTGGACAAGGTGGTTGACGATCTGGGGTAGTTCGAGAGCTGCCGTTGTTGACTTTGACTGAATTGCCGGTGCACGGATGCGGATGCACGCAATGAAGGCCCTGGGAATGACGTTGATCAAATTACACCCTGTGCCTAACAAGGCCAGGCGTCAAATCGGCCCTGCAACCACGGGATTGGACAGGGACAGCAAAGTGGACATCTTCGCAAGGGACGGTGGACACTTTTCGGCAAGGGCAAAGTGGACAAACAGACCTCCAAGGGCAAGGGAGCCAAAGACGCGACTCAGAATGAATGAACAAAGACTTTACGCGTCTTAGCGCGCTGTGGGCTCTGTCAATCAAGCCTGCGACCAAGATCCGACCAATGGAAAATCCAGTCTGCCCCTGGTTGCCAACGACGACGGACGGAAACGTGGAGCAGAACAGAACAGAACAGGACAGACTTGAGTCCACAGCCCAGGGTGTGTGACGGCAACTAAATGGTCCGTGCACCGGGGTGTGGAGCGTGTGTGGGTGAGTGATTCTGGCATGCTCTCAGATCAATCAGGCGCAGACCGCCCCCAGCCCCTTCTTTGGTTTGCACTCCTGGCGTTCTTTCCCCCAAACAACATCCGCAATCATCGGCCTGCCTTGCGCTCCCTCAGCTCCTAACCCCAGACAAGACAAGACAAGACAAGACAAGACGTGACCACCCACTTTTTCACACATCCATCCCATCATTGTCGCCTCTTCGTCACTCAGCTGAGCCTCTTTTTTTTATTTTTTTTATTTGCTGCATCCACAAAGAGCCACAAAGCACCTATACCATACTGCCTCAACTACACACTACTATACTCTCTATCGTATTGTTCAATTACCTACTACTACTACTAGTTCTACTAGCTTCGAGTTGTTGCTGCTGCGCGATTTGTGTGGAGGAGGAAAAAGAAACCGGGCGCCAAGTTCCGTTGTTGTTTTTGTTGTTGTTGTCTTAAGTTGGTCTTTGCACGTTCCAGGTTTCTCGGTTTGTTGGACTTGGGAATTCAAATTCAAAGGATCTCCGCATTTGCCGGCCACCACCACCACCACCACCATCAATCACCACATCGATAACGACACCCGACCCCGACGACGATCTAGACAACAACATCGAGCACAACCCTTAGAAGGGTGTACCTGAATTCGCAACACATTCATATCGCATCAACTTGCGTGCGTCGGCCTTGCATCGACAACACCGGGCCGTTGAAGCGCGCACATTGCACTGCATTCGCCAATTGACGCGCCTTCCCATTGTCGTCGCCAATTCCAGGATCGATTGCGCGGCGGGTCTTTTCATCCCATCCCACTCCTTCCTTCATCGCGTCCTTTCAGGCCCTTTGTCGCCTGGGTAGCGGTCATCTCATTGGTCGCACACTTTTGTTGTTGTTGTTTGTCCGATATACTGTCAGCCTTGTTTGTGTACGGTAAAAAATGATGGAGGTATTTCGCAGTCACGGGGCCGTGACTCCCTCCGGCCCGCACTCTCCATCCGACATCCACACCCCGCCAGCGCCGCTTCACGGATTTGAGGATCATTGGGAGCCCTACACGCCGCGCAAGTCCGCACGCATTTCCCAACGCACACAGGCCCAAGCAGCCTCATCCTCATCCCGCAGCCGCGCCCGCACCCCTTCACCCCAACCAACCCCCAGACGTCACATCTCATCTGCTGCCGACAAACAACAACCCCCGCCACCCCACCACAAATCCACAGGTTCGCCAAAGTCAACAAAACGTCAACCCCATCACCATCATCACAACCATCATCAGACTGAAGCTGCTGAACCTTCATCATCGTCGGCCATGGTCACCCCAACCTTTACGCCCGTCAAGAAGCGCGCCGTCAACCCCGCCCTGGATTCAGTTCATCGCGCCTCAAGAACTCTAGATGGCTCCCTTCACGCCCCCCTCGGTCGCTCAACTGGAGCTGGCAGCCTCATCACCCCCGCCAAGACCCCCATCAAGCCGCCGACGGAGCGCAGCAAGTCCCAACTGAAGGGAGTCACAAAGACTCTTTTCAGCAGAAAGGTTGACGAAAATGAGGTCATGCCCAGTCCCAAGAAGGCGCGCGCTAAGAAGCAGACCAATGAGGAGGAGGAAATTAGTATTTTCACTGACTCCCATGAGCGCGTGCCGGTGGTTGATGACAGCATTGAAAACCCTTTTTACGGCACCAAGACAACAACAAAAACTACCACCACTACCACCACTACTACTGAGCGCACCTCGACCCGCCGAAGCACCCGGAATCTGGTCAACATCCCCGGTGAGGGCGTGGTGAGTTTGGAGGAGGCAGTTGGCCGCAAAGACGGCATGCTTATCATGTTGTGAGTGAAATCTGAGAAACCCCTGAAATTACGAGCACGTTTACTGACTAGCTCACAGCCGCGGCAAAAAGCAGTTCCGCAAGTTCGCTGAAGTGGAAGAGGAGGTGGTAGAGGCTGATGACGGGTTTGAGAGTGCGGTTGCCTCTCCCTTGAGACGTCCTCTCACCCGCTCCTCCATCAAGCCGCGTCTGCTGTTCCCACCCAAGCCCAAAGAGGCCAAGGTACCTGACTCAGACGAAGAGGCGCCCACCGACATTGAGGACCACGTCTTGGAGAGCCTGAAGACCGAAGAGGAGAAGAAACAGGAGAAGGAGGAGGAGAAGGAGGAGGTCATCGAGCCTGAGATGCCAGCCGAAGAGGCCAAGGAGAAGCCCCTTACTGAGCCCCAAGAGGCAGACAAGGAAAGAGCCAGCACCCCCGAGACGACACCGTTAGCACCAGCTTCACCGCCAGCCACAGCACGCACCACAAGAGCTGGCAGCAAGAAGGCTGCAGAAGACACACCTAAAAAGGCCAAACCCAAGGGAAGGAAGAGTCCATTTGACGCGTTCCGTCGAACCAAGGCCGGTGCATCTTCCAGTGCTGGTACAAAGAGAGCCAGCGAAACACCATCGGTCGGAGCCGGTCCAGCTAAGCGAACTAGGACTTGATCACGCGCTGGCAGATGGTGCACAATTTAATGGGCGGTGGTCTTTGTGCGTTTCCTTTCAAAAGGGGGGTTTTTTTTACGGCGCCGGAGGACGGCATGACCACTACACTGGCTTGACTTTGACATCTCAAACATTATTGCTTTTGACGGGACTGGACACTCAACAACGGGGTTTGGAGGCGTTGGGAACATGGATCACTACGCAAGGCGTTTTATCTTTTAGGGCAGGGCAATCGAGACGGCACAAGGACAGCCACACGGGTACAAGACGACGAACATACCACATGAGACAGAGAGAGAATTATGTGGAGCAGCTTATTCGGGATTGGTGGTTACTTTTTGTTTCGCGTTTATGGAAAGATTGCATGTCTGGTGATTTATCAACGTCTGGATGGGAGATTCTGTGACTGGAATATGGGAGTGGTGGGGCCAGCGAAGGCATTCATCCCCTTTCTTCCTTTTCCCTCGTTCCACTTTTGTTTTCCTTTTCTTTTTCTCACTTTCTGTTGTACAAGTGCATGGCATGGTATAGCATGGCAAGATTGCACCTGCTGTTATTTTCGATCCAGTTTGTTTTCGCTTCTTTCCTTGACTTGTTGATTGTTGCTTTACGAGGGACAAAAGCAGGCTAGGCTACAATTACTGAAACATTTGAGACTTTCTCTTCCGTTCATGTTACCCATGTTCTGATGCCGCTCTGGGTCGTAGATAGACTGACGCTGGTTGTGTGGGGATGTGGTCCATTGACTTGATGGCATAGGGGCATGAATCTGGACTTCATCCGATACTCGGTCAAATGACGTCTAGATAGAATCGGGATATCACACAACCTGGATGCAAGGCTACAAGTTAGTCTAGATAGTTTAGTCAACCCTCATCGATCAATTTAAGTGGTCTCTGGCGTGTTCAACGTGTCAGGCTTCGAGGAGAACGAGGTTTCAAGACGATTTAGACAGCTCTTAAATTGATGGGTCTGGTGAGAACCAACCAACTTCATCCCTACGTCGCAGTTTGCTTTTACTCTGTAGGAGAGAGACGTCGAGAGACTGGTCAACTCCTTTGGACAAGCCAGTTTGATAGCACAGTTATGCAGCCCCTTCCATGACACTCAAACATGCATATGCCAACGTATAGGGGAGCAGTCGTAAAGTCTGGCAACCTCGTTGTCCATTCCTCTCACCAGCAGCGACTTTTAGTCAAATGAGTCAGGCAGATATGCACAAACACGTCTCTCGGATCATCATTCCGTTCGCGAAGAACGAACCCAAATCCATCCAGGGGCCGCTCCACTCTTTCAGCTTGTTTTGATCCTGCCCGGCCCCACCCCCGCAATCGCATCATGGGGCCCAGCAAAACGTCGTTCGGGACCAACCGCAACTCGATTTAATTTTCCAACTTCAACAACACTTAAAGAGACGCCGGATTGTCCCTTCGGTTCCTGGACGACTCGTATCTGAAGATTCTTCCCAGGTTTTACTGTCGAGGATCCTGACTATACATACAACAACAACTACATTTACTTCTCTATCACTTCACACAACCAGTCAGTCCAACATGCACATCCTCATAGTCAACGACGACGGGCCTCCCTCCGCCCACTCGTCCCCCTACGTCCACTCCCTCGTCCGCGGGCTGCAAGCCGCAGGCCACACCGTCTCCGTCTGCCTTCCGCACACCCAACGCTCCTGGATCGGCAAAGCCCACATGATCGGCCAAACCGTCAAGCCGCTCTACTACCGCCCGCCGCCCGCCTCTTCCCCGGCCGCCGGCCTGACCACCGCTCTCGTCCCTTCTTCTTCCGACTCCGACTCCTCTGAGCAAACCGTCAACGTAACCGATCACGGCTCCGTCCACCTCCGCCCCTCCACCGTGCCGGGAACAGAAGAATGGATCCTCGTCGACGGCACGCCCGCCTCGTGCGTGCAAATCGGGCTCTACCACTTCTTCCAAGACCGCGGGCCCGTTGACCTTGTCGTGTCCGGCCCCAACTACGGGCGCAACACCACGGCTGTGTTCGCCTTGTCGTCGGGAACTCTCGGTGGCGCGCTGGAAGCGGCCGTGTGCAAGCGTCGCGCCATTGCGCTGTCTTATGCCTTTTTCAACCGCAACCACGACCCGGCCATCATCACCAAGGCGAGCCGGCAGTCGGTGCGCGTGATTGAGGCGTTGTGGAAGCAGTGGCCGACGGATGGATCGGTGGATCTGTACAGTGTCAATGTCCCGCTGTTGGAGGGGCTGGAGGAGGGTAAAGTGCTGTACACGCCCATGTTGCAGAATTATTGGGGGGCGGGCAGCTGTTTTGAGGAGGTGGAAGGGTCGGTGGATGGCGAGGAGGTGGATGAGGAACGGATCAGAGAGGGCGGGGGCGCCGATGCCGAGACGGGGGATGGTGGTGGTGGTCTGGATGTGGGTGATGGTAAGAGGGACGGAAGGGAAGGGTTGCATACCCATAAGCACTTTAAGTGGAGTCCGAGGTTTACGGATGTTTACAGGAGTGTGGAGGAGGCGCCGCCGGGGAATGATGGGTGGGCGGTCAAGGAGGGGCATACCAGGTGAGTTTTTCCAAGTATTCGGTTGGGAGAGGAGAGAAGGATTGGGGGATGGTTGCTAACGATGATGTCTGCAGTGTCACCCCGCTCAAAGCCAACTTCTGGAATACGGCCGAGAATCTGCACGGCAAAGAGTTGCAGCTGTAAGTTTGTGTGTGATAGGTTTTGCGTTGGTTTCGCGTTGGCTTTGGTTATGGTTGCCCTTTGGCGTGACGACAAGACAGCGCTTTCATGAGAGGAACGACAACAGATGGTTATGAGACATGGAGACGACAGACTACGGCAACGACGGCACGGTTGATGATCAAGAAATAATGAACTACTACCTACTATCTAATAAGATGGAAAGAGCATAGAATGGTGAAATAGACAAGACTGTTCTTGATCTGGCTCACTACTGTCACTATGAATATTGTGTGCTTCTTTCTTTCTTTACTGGCGGTCACGATCCTAACCAACTTCGATACAGGCCTCCTCTTGAGACACCCTCAGCTACCAAGACCAAGTCGACGACCACCCTCCCCATCCGGAATTCCACCACCACCAACTCCAAAGACCACCTCTACGCCCTGATCGACTACCAAGATGCCTACGTCCAACCACTCATCCTCTCCGCCATCGAGAAACTCCTCCCCTCTTCGTCATACACCCTCCTCCCGTCGCCTTTCACACCCGAAAACAAGGAACCCGAGATCCATCTCTCTACCCTTCTTCCCTCTACCGACGTCAAAGTCCTCCAAATCACCCCGTACGAAACAATCGACTTCGACCACGCCATGTCCCACCCCGCCACCACCCTCATCAACTCCTACATCATCCGCAAAGCCCTGATCCGCAAGCACTTTCTGTCGTCCACCGTCGAGAACTGGGTCGCCAAACACCCTACCTCCGCATTGAAGACGCACGTGAAGAGGGCTGAAGCCTTCGAAGTCGATTACGCCGAGTTTCTGGACGATTCTTTGGTGGAAGCATTCGACCTGCGCGCGAGCATGGAGAAGAACGACCAGCTCATTGCCGAGGGTAAAGAAAAGGAAGTAGAATGGTGGATTCTGAAACCAAGCATGAGTGACCGCGGACAAGGAATTCGATTGTTCAGCACGATGGAAGAGCTCCAATCCATCTTTGACAGCTGGGAAGTCGAATCCGATTCTGATTCCGATTCCGAAGACGACGACGAAACTACCCAAAAAGACGACGACTCCGACGCCGGAAACGGAAACGGAATCAACACCTCCCACCTCCGCCACTTCATCGCCCAACCCTACATCCACCCACCCCTCTTGCTGCCCGAACTCTCAAACCGCAAGTTCCATATCAGGGTGTACGTCCTCGCCATCGGCGCCCTCAAAGTCTACGTCTACAAGGACATGCTCGCTTTATTCGCCGGCGTTCCCTACACGTCCCCCTTTTCCCCCACTTCCTCTTCCACCTCCTTTGACCCCGACTCCAACCCCGACTCCGAAGAAGCAGAAGAAGCAAAAGAACTCGACCTCTCAGCCCACCTAACCAACACCTGTCTCCAAACCTACCTCTCTCCCAACGCAGCCGAAAACTCCGTCCACCGCTTCTGGGACTTACCTTCCCTTTCCCCGAACAATTTCCCGCAATCTAAAGCAGAAAATATCTGGGACCAGATCTGTGAAGTCACGGGTGACTTGTTTGAAGCGGCAGCGAGGGGAATGATGATTCATTTCCAGCCGATGGAACAGGCGTTTGAAGTGTATGGACTGGATTTCTTGGTGGATGCGGATGATGAGAGTGGAAGAAACACGGCGTGGTTGTTGGAGGTTAATGCTTTTCCAGACTTTAAGCAGACGGGCGAGTTGAAGGGGGTTGTGGGTGGGTTCTGGGAGGGGGTGGTGAGGGAGGCTGTTGGGGGGTTTGTTGGGGTGAAGAAGGCGGATGGTGTTGAAGACGAGAAGATGAGGCTGGTTAGGGAGGTGGATTTGGGGAGGAGATGGTAGGTTTGAGGTGGAAGAGGCGATGGTAATATCAGAACGAAGACCACTTCAAGTCATGTATGTGCTTGTGTGTCCATGGTAAGTTTATAAATGTACGATTTGGGGGTAAGGATAGAAAAAAGTTATTTGCTTGTACGTATGTCATCAACCGTTGGCTACATCAATTTGCCGAAGCTTAATCTTGTGATGTCCGCTGAACAAACACAACAACAAAGGTTACCAGGCAATACAATCCTCTCGCCGTCTCTTGATGCCTTTCTATCCCATTCTTGCGCCATCAGTTCCTTGACCCTCCGCCTTTTCCTTCTCCAACAAATCATAATCCGCAACCGGATCCCTCTCCAAGTCCAACGCCCAATTTACCGCCTTCCAAATCTTGTCTTTCATCTCCATACTAATATCCGCCTGTGGCTTCCTCGGCAAAAACAGTTCCATCCCCTTATGCCCCGCCGTCGCCATTGGATACCTCCGCGTCGTCCCCGTCCCCTTCACCACCCCGGCCCTCCACCCCGTATACAAGCTCGCAGCAAACTTGATCGCGGCAATACCCCCACCACTCTCTAACAGCTGTTCCTCCACTTTAGCCAACATCCCACTGACGCGCAGCGCATCCGCCCTCTTCACCTTATCATTATTCTTCTCCCCATTCACATACTCATGATACTGCCACACCAACGCCCACGGCAGCACATTCGCAAACGCCGTGATGCACCCGCTTGACCCGGCTGCCAGTCCGCCGACCAAGTAATCGCTTTGTCCCGCAAAGATGGCAAATTCTTTTCTAGAGGGGAGGAATTCCCTGGCTAGTCGGGTGATTTTGCCGACCACGTTACTGCCGGACCGCAAGTGGGCGCCGACGATCTTGCCTTTGTGGCGCAGAGCTTGACGGCTTATAAGTTCGCTGGTGAGGTCGATCCCGCCGTCTTCGTCAGAGATTAGGATCCGTAACTGGGAGTAGTTGGCAATATCGTCGAAAAACGCGTCCACCGTTTCATTTTCTTGCTTGGTTCCCTTTTTGTTCGGTTCAGACCCAACAGGTGGTGAAACAACCACGTAATTAGCCCCGGATGCAATCGCATCGATGATGTGCTCACGCACCTGTCTCACGCTGGGGGCCGAAACGCCTGCCATGATGGGAAACCCGAGAGGAACCGAGTCGCGCGCGCAGCGGAGGAGGTCGCGGCGTTCTTGGCGGGTGAGTAGGGAGGCTTCGGATTCGGCGCCGAAGACGAAAAAGCCCGCGAGACCGATTTTGGGCGAGGAGAGGTATTGGAAGTAAGAGATTTGGGACTGGAAGTCGATATTGTCGCGGAGGTTGAAGAGGGTTATGGGGGAGGCCCAGATGCCGGAGGGTGGGACTGGGGGGACCATTTCTGATCTTGAAACAAGGAAGCTGTTTTGTTGCGAATAGGACATGGTGAGTGCCTTTTCAGTTTGATCTTGGGTTGCTGTTGTTGTTATGGCGGTGAGAGACTTTCGTTCAAGTAGATTGTCTTGATGGCTGTTGACTGACGGCTTTGGTCAGATGAATCAGCTAAAGACTTGGAAGTCAGATTAGACAAGATCAAGGGACTCGGTACCACGAGTAGAGCAACTAAATCGATGAGTATGTATCAGCTCGACAGGCCGTTTCTGGAAAATACAGAGTGATTTTGATGTGCTTGATAGCGCGATATGGGAGTTACCTTTTCCAACCGACAAGAGGAGAAGCTGGAGATGTTCATCCAACCGGCCGGGCTGACCAGACCAGTATGCTTGAACCGGAAGTGTGACAATGGCCAAGATTATTGAACCAAAGCTGCGATGATGACCAAATAGATAAGCAAAAGGGATGATTCAACCCAGAAAAAAGTGGTTAAATGTGCTTGAAGCTGTGAAAGAAGAGAGAGAGAGAGAGAGAGAGAAACTGGCCGAAAGCCTGGAGGCCGTGAGTTTTTATTGCAGTCCCAATCAGCCACTGCAGCCGACTCAAACTGGGAACGGAATGGCTTCTTCGTTCCTTCCTGAAGAGTCATAAGCTTCTTCTGTGCCGGTCATCGTCCAAAGGTGAGTGAATTTCTTCTACTGCAGTGTTGTGTACGAGGTGTGCCTTCCAACTGCTCTGTATTTCTTGCTTTAGGGCATGGGGTTTGGATGGGAGTTGGCAGAGCAAGCAAGGCAGGCAGGCATGAGGCAGACCTGCAGCAGACACCGGCATATGCCTTGACATGACGGATGGGATGAGACCTGGAAATTGGGTTCAAGACGCAAAACTCTCAAGGTGGTGAGGGAAATAGTGAGCTTGTAGAGATGCTTAATGCTGCGAGTTCTCTGTCGAGATGGAAGCAAAGGACAGCTATACAGAATGATTGGCACGACCTTACCTACGAAAATAAGACGAAGCAGGTATAACTACCTCAGGTACTAACCAAAACTTGCTCTCCTCTACTGTAGGTATTATGCTGACGTGACGCCATAACGGTTTTGCCTTATTGCTCTCTCTCTCTCTCAACATTCAACTTCTACAACAACAACAAACTACCTAACAAAGAACGTAACATAAAAAAAGCCCAAGTGGTATATCAAACTGAAAGAGCTGCTTCCCTTCCCTAACCTGCCCTCCCGAAAAACCAATCACACCAATCCGACACCAGAAAAGAACCAACCCAGGCAAGACCAGGCACAAACGTAATCCCCCGCCTGTCGAGCCTTTACTCCTTACTCTTCCACCGCCATCACCACAAGCTCCTCTAACCCATCAATGATCTCGTTCTGATCCTTCTTATCCTCCTCTTCTTCTTCAACTCCATCGAGTCCACCCACTCCATCCACTAGCCCTGGTGCATAGAAAGCCTGACTGAGCTCTAGATGGCCGAGTCCCTAACGCAGTCCAATCACGCTCATCTCCAGCGTCCACACCCTGCGGATCCACACCTTGAGCTTCGTGCCAGGCTCGAGACCTTCGACACCCTCAAGCTCGACACCCTCCCACCAGCACCTGCGAGCAGGCTTGCGCCAGAAGAGCAGAAGCTTCTGGGCCATGCCCACGGCGTTGCTGCCCATCTCGTTGCCCTTAATGTCGGAGCGCAGGCGGGCGAGGGCGAGGGAGCAGATAACGGCCTTGTTAGGCTCGCCGGCACGGTGGCCCCAGCGATCGTCGTGGTTGAAGCCGCTGTAGATACAGTTAGCACTTTTTTAACAGTGGAAGGGAGGCCCCAATAGGCGAAGTGAGGACCAAAACTTACCCAGCAGTCAACATCTCGATCAAATGCGCCTCCGTCGTGCCCGGCTCATCACTCTTCTTCAGCCCGCTGAAGATACCGTCCTGCTTGAGCAGCGCCCGAGCAGCCGCGCGCTTGATCTCCATCATCTCAGCCTGACCAAGGTCAGCACGAGGGGGGATGGCGTAAAAGTCCAGGTCCTCACGCAGCACAATGATGCCAGCACGCTTAGAACCGTCATCGCCCCGTGCGCCGGATGCCGGATCGACGGGTACTATGCCGTCACTGCCATCTTGGGGGTTGGAAGGGTCTACGGGAATCGACTGGGCTACTGTGCGGAAGAACTCCAGCATGTATTGTAGGGATGCTGGGTCGTACTGTTGACCAAGTTAGCGATGAGCTGGGTGAATGACTGGTGAGCGCGCAAACTTACGTCAACTTGTACGGCATCTCCCTCGCCAAAGCCACCCATGTGTCCTTCGGGGAAGAGTCCATTGGGAAAGAGGGACAAAAGTACAAATTCGGGCAACGTTAGCAACTCATCGCGTGATAGTGTGAACCGCGTTCCCCTGTCCAGTAAATCAGCAAACCATCCGTTTTACAGCATACTTCAGAGTAAATTCTTACCGCAGGTCCATAGTAATCGTCTCATCGGGGGCGACATCTATCCAGCAAACCCATTGTTAACCTCTGTTGAATTCCAACAATTCTCAAATTGTCCATTTCCATGAATCCAATCCAACTCACCTCCCAGGGCATTAATTGGCGGTCCACCCTGCTGGACCTGAGTAATGATACTCGACGCTCCTCCCGCGGCAGCCATTAGATATGTGAAAGAGAGGAGAGGACTGGATCCCTCCGAATATGCCGGTGGCGGCTCTGCTTCTTCCTCCTTGCTGCGAGATGACTCGCCCTTGGTATCCTCCTTTTGAGAGTTTAGCGCTTGCTTGGTTTCGTCCTGGAGCTGGAATCCCGGGGACGATGTTGAAGGCGCGGTGGTGATAAAAGCACTACTACTGCTTCCTACTCCTGACGGATAATGTACAGCAACAAATGGATCGGACGGCGCGTAAGCTGGGGCGGCAGATTTCGAGGATGCGACTTCGTTAAATTCGTCTGGGTCGTCGACGACGTCGTTATTGTCGAAATCGGTGACTGAAACGGCAGCGTACTTGCCGTCAAATGGTTCAAAGACGGATGCTGAATTGGAAAGTTCGGGGTCCGCTGATGGACTGGCAAAGAGCGACGAGAAGGGCGGAGGTCGTCCAGCTGAAGAGGACTCGGACGCCGGGTATTGGGGTGGCGGAGAACGAGTAGCCGATGGTGGCTCAGGACCGGCGACAGCGGCGGTGGTAGTAGTAGTTGAGCGACAGAAGTCGTTGACCTCTGCAGTGAAGCAGACAAGACCCGGCAGAAGTGTCTCGGGAATGGTGGTGTTGTTGTTGTTGTTGTCGTCGGGCAGGTGATGGTGATCCAGGGCTAGGTTGTCCAGGTTCAGGTTCAGGTCCAGGTCCAGGTCGGGTAGCAATCCAGAGTCTGCTTCTGCGCTACGCCGTTTGGGGAGAGAAAGGCGAGAGGTCCTGTGGTGATGTGGAGGGTGGTCGAAGAGAAGCCCGGGGGACGAGCAGCTGGAATCTCGCGGCGCAGACAGGGTGACGACGGGGGTGGGTGTCGCAATTGGGAATTAATTCGGTCGTGATTTGGTATCTAATATAAGGGGCTACCTGTAGGGACGTGACGGATAAAGCTGGGGGAGCCGAAGAAACGTTAGCCAAGTTTCCATGGACCCAGTCGTCACAGTGTTGTTCCTCAAGATGGGTGGTGGTGATGACAGCGACAGCGATGGAGTGTTGTGTGTTTGCTTCCTATTTCCACCTCGTCCTCATGTGTTCCCATCAAGAGTCTTGCTTGACCTTACCTACCTCTAACGGGGCCTGGGACGGACACACACACACACACAGTCAATCAATTAATTGATTGCATGAAATCGATGGAGACGGCAATGGTGGGAACCCGGCGCGACTTTGTTGAATTGGATGGGACGGATGATTGATGTTGTTGGCGGACAATGGTCGGGGATTAGGTAGGATTAGGTGAAGGGCTAAAGTAAGATTGGGGTTCCTCTTCGGGGAGAGTGGGATGCTATTACCATGGCTGATATACCCAGCAAGTACCTGGGCGTAATTAACTGCGAGCCTCCACTGCCCAATCTGAGGTAGATCGCCTGGACTAGGCTGCACGCTAGCTGGTCCAATCGTCTAATTACATGGCCCTGGTCCCTTCCCTAGGTCGTCTGAGATGGTCCGGGCGGAAGTGAACGGTCCAGAATCATAAAAAGGGTCGTTCGTTCGTGACAGGTTTTGCTTTCTGGAAGGACACCGTGGTAATGGACTCGCCATGAACTTGGTGGATATGAATGTCCTAAACAAGTACGTTACTTTGAAGAGGAAACCACACTACCTACTTCAACGGACCTGTAGCTCTGGCGTGAGAGGCAGGTCCATTCTTAGACTACGAGGTAGATTGGCATGTAACTAATTGAAGGTACTGTAGTTTTGTAAAGACATGACTGACGCGAAAAGAAACAACTTGAAGAAGACGGGACGGCAAGACGGGAGACGACAGGCGAATCCTGCAAGCACAACAACCCGCACCTGCCTGGGTTGTCAAAGTTGACAGCACTGACGGCATTCACACTGACATCGATTCACAGACATGGAAGAAATGGTTCAAGGGCACTCTCAGCTGCAACTTGCAGCACCTCGATGGATCCCCCCGATGGGAAATGCAAAGACCAAGCAAGGGGTACTGGTGCTGTCACGCTGTGAAATTACCGCTGAGGCGCTGGAATTGCCAATCACTGCTCGAGCTGCCAATTGTTAGTCCCGCTTATTCTGTAGCCGCCCGTCTGCCAACCAATCATCAAGTTGAGAGACCGACATCACGGTTGCCGCTTGTCACTGTCTCGTGCATATGACAATTTGGGGAGAGTTATGCCGTGGACAAGCTCTATGGGTTTGATCCTGATGGGATTCTTCAGCTTTAGAAGCTGATTATAGCTCTACAGTGTCTGTTGGTGACACATGTGAGCACAACCCTAACCCTGCCCCTGACCTACTGGCCATCAGGGTACTTTATAAACCATCAAGGTTCTCCCCAAACTCCATCACTCATCATCATCACTATCCCCAAAAATGGCCTTAAACACTTCATCACCCGGCCTCTTCCCTTCCAACGCTTCATTCCTTGACGTATCAAGTACCACTTCAGCAGGCTTCTGTGCCTCTCCTCCTCTCTCCAAATCAGCCATGGCTGTACTCCCTCCTCCGCCGCCAGTACTCCCAAACTCCAACCCCAACAATTCCCTCTCCACAGTACCGGGTCCTCCTCCACCCTGATACCCGTACGACTGAAACTGCGACCAGACGTCATCCTTCTTCTTCTCACTAGTGGCATCGTAATTATCCGGCTGAACATGTGCCGGCGGCTTAACTCCAAACCGTTTACACAACAGTCTCGTAGGATAGAAGTCCGTAACCGACCTGGTCATGGTGCCAAACATGCCCAATCTCGCCGCTTCCTCTGCCGGATCTTCAGGTTTTGGCGGTGGCCTTGACACCACCTCCTTCGTGTCTCCTGTAGTTGATGCCGAGGACTTCGTAGAAGACGACGTAGTAAACCGACTAGCCATGAACCCCGTCATCGGCTTAAAGATCCTCGCGCAATTGAAAAACTCATGAAACTCCCTCAGCCACTCCTCATCCGTCAACTTCGCCGGTTTCGGTGGTAATTGCGGTCTGAACCCCGCCTGGACCTCCAAGTAGCCTCTGTACCGTGCACGCTTCTCCTCGTCTTCCGCATAGGGCGCGCCACCCCCGATGCCGCGCGAGATGGCGGCAATGGCGGTTTCCTTATCGAGTTTGGGAACGCGATCGAGAAGCTCTTGCTGCTTTTCGGCTTCGCTGCGGGCGTAGGCGGCCGGCACTTCGCCGAGAGCTTGCGGCAGGTCGGACCGGCCCGTGACGGCGGCGAGACGGTCGCGAGAGGCCGGGGAGATGAAGTCAAAGACGGATTTTCCGGGTAACTGCTTTTCGCCAAGGAGAGCGGCGCGGGCTTTGGGGTCGAGGGTCGAGGCTTTGGCTACGTCGGCTGTTGAGACGTAGTTTGCAGGAGACCCGCCGGCGGATTCCGGTTTGGGCGTCCTGGAAGATACCCACCCTGGAGGGATCTGGGGAGGCGGGTATTTTCCTTCGGAATTGATTTCGGTTGTGAGCGCGTCGGATTCCTTGCCGAAAACAAAGCCGTCCAGTGGTAGGCGGCCGTCGTGGCATTTGCGGACCCCTAACCCTACTTTGCCTAATATCGACGATGCTGCTTTCTTGGTGATAAACTTTGGTTTTGCTTGTAGCGTCGGGTTGGCCGCTATCGTAGCCTTCTTTTTCTTCTTGTCCCCGCCTATTACTCGGTTGTAGGATATTTTGGGACCGACTTCGTATGGGTCTTCGTCGTCTGAGCCGGTATCGTTCAGGATACCTATCCCTATGCCTCCTCGAATTTTGCTCGTTTCCTTCTTTCGGCCCCCGCCTATTGTAAGTTTGGGTCGTCCTAGTGCGCCGTAGTCGTCCTCGTCTTCGTCGTCCGTGTCACCGTGACTGCCTTTCTTTGACCCCGATCGACCAATTGGCGTCAGCCCGCTCTCTCCCGCGTATCCCAAGCCCTTGCGATCCGTCTTCTTCACAAATGCAATCATGGGTACGTTTTCCGGCGCAAAGAGAAAAGTCTCCCCTTGGGCGGTCACATCGTTTTGCAGCTCGAGCCGCGCTTTCCTCCGCACCTTGGGGCCAATGCCTTGACCTTCCCTCCAGCCCATCTTTTTGAGTAGTTTCACACCCATGGTTTCACCCTGGGGACGAAAGAGGCCCATGAGGCCGCTCGCTCGTGTGGCATCGTTCGCGGTCGAGCCTAGCCCGGCGAAGGCGGCGTTGGTCTGGATCTTCTTGGCTTCTTCAGCATCGGCAAGATCCTCCTCGTCCATAAAGTCCTCCGGTCGTTGTTGGACAGCTTTCGGGGTATCTTTGTGGCGGTTCGTGCGTGACGAGACAAATGTCGAGGGTGTCCATCCTTCTTTGGAGCCGACGGTATTAAAGTAGCTAGTGGAGAGGTTGCTGTTAGCAAAACAGAGAGCGGTCGTTTGAAGAGGAGCTATACATACCCTGCACTGAATCCTCCTGTGAATGCGCCGTGTAGTCTTTTCCTCCCTCGCTCGTCCCTCACCTCCTGCTTCCATATGGGTACGTAGGATCCATCGTCGCGAACTTCGGGGTCGCGCGGCGGAAGAGGTGTCCCGAAGAAAACGTACGGTGATTGCTGAGCAGTAAGGTCGGCCTCGAAAGTTGCGCGTGACCTCTTGTAGGACATGGAGAGGACGTGTGGTCGAAGTGGTGGTGGAATCGTTTGTTGACAAATTACCGTAATGGAATCCGAGGCTGAAGCTCAGCAAAGGCACATGCACGCTACTTGGATTGGTGTGGTGGTTCCAGTCGTGAGCTACAGAACGCGACGGTCGCTAAATTTACTGGGTAGGGTGGTGCTGTTCAGCCTTGCCCTGCTCCGGGTGCTGCTTGGCCAGCTGCCGGCAGGGGCAGGCATGTCATCGGTCAAAAGGGAAGGCGGTACCAGATCTAGAACGGAGCGGGGTCATTCTGCCGCTGGGCGATGCGGGGACGGCGCTCGACGACAGGGGCTGTCCCTGAGAAGGTGCCCTGAAACTTTGGTGATTTTACAAGACCGGCCGGGCGTTGAGGCCAGAGAGTTGAAAGACTCGAGACTGGACATTTGGTCACTACAAGTGGAAGTTGAAACTCAATTGACGGTGGAAGCATCAGAATGAATTAGTGTAGAAAGAATCAATAGTATCAGACCGTGGAACCGGGCTCTCCCGACCGGCTGGATCCGGGCGCCCGTTCGCTGGCGCCGAGCCAAGCTTCAGATGGCAGAAAATGGACTTCCAACTGAAGTGCCTGCAGCATCTCGGCCCGCGGAATGCAGCCCGGTTGTTTGCTCGGCATCATGAAACAATGAAGCCGACGAAATTTCATTTTCTGAACAAAGCAAACACGGATGAAGGAGACACACATTGGAGCTTCACCAAGCTGTTGAGGACGACTAGTATAGACGGTTGGAAACCCCGCATGAGGTGAGAACCGTAACCCAACAACAACCTGGAGGAGATCATATTCCTGTCCTGGAAACATCGCTTTGATCCGCGGCATGATATCATTTCAGCTGGCAATCAATATCCGATGCGCATTGTTGGTCGATCCGTGATATCTCGGTGCTTTTCTTTTTTACGCATTTTGTTGAATATCCTCGAAATTCCTGTGTGGCGTTTCAGATCTTTCGGCGTGGATACCGCGAGATTCCAAGGGAGTGAATAAATGCTCTCAAATGTCTCCCGCACAAGGAGAAACGGCTGTCTCATGCTGTACAACAACCGACTTCTTCTGGTGATTGGAGTGTTGGGAACATCCAGAAACAAGAGTCAGAAGAAGAAGAAAGTTGCATAGTACATCATCACCATTCCGTCCCTTGTCAACTCAGCTCGATTCCGTTTTCTTGAAAATAGTCTGGTGATAAGCTTTGGTGCCTTGCACTCCAAAAGGGAACGCTCACCGCACCAATGCTGCCATTGGATGAAGCTTCCCCGCAAGTCGCAGGCCTGCCACACGGCCGCCGTTCCAGAGAGCGCGACGCGATATCCAATGTCGCAGTATCAAGGCTGCGGTGTGGCACAGAGAGCTTCCTTTTTTTTTTTTTTTTTCAAAATGTGTCAGTCAAGAAAGAAGATCACAAATCTAAAAATTCCCGTCCGAGCTGAAACCGCTCCAAAAGGATGTCCCGGAGACAAGCATTGACTATCTCCTGAATTGTTTGTTGGCACCAGTCTGAAGCCGCCCATCTCTAAACCCCAGCTTCTGGCCAGTCAGATCGGATCCAGGAGTTGCATCCTTCTCGAAGGTCGCCGGGCCTTTTCCGCGTGCTGTAGACGTGGCATTGGGGAGTCGGGGACCGGCCTTGGTCGAGAACGAATCACGGCGGAGGGCAGGCCGTCAAGATCCCCACCACGCCAACAGCGGATCCCGATCCGGGCTGTAGTGTAAGAGACCACGAGGAGGCATTTCACCGGCCATCCACCGAGATTTTCTGTCCAGGGTACCATATGCTGATTGATGTAGAGGGGTCGATTAGTCACCGTTGAACATGTCACAGTTCGAGTCGAGGGAGTGGCTATCGGAATGGCTTCAGGGGCTTTCGAGGGGGGAAACATGTTGTGGTGGAAGGGTGGATGTGGGCGCCGGCCAAGAAGGACGATCATGGACGACAACTGTAGTGTACCCATATGTGGGTTCAGAACCCTTCCTTCCTTGTCCTTTGTTTCTCATCGTGACTGCAATTCACAAATGAGATGCCGGATTGCCTTGGGGATGCTGGGTCCCTCCGTGGTCCCCAACAAATGAATATTTGGAGAAGACCGTTCGAGGCAACAGTTAGGAGGAGAAAGAGAACTATACTGTAGCCGTTGGTGATGACCTCGTCTGTTCGTTTACATCTTCAATGTCCCGGAGTGAGTTGCCAGAGGCTGAATGTTTAGCGTTCGGTATAGCGCCATCGGTGGTGGTTAAGCGCGCTCCCATCTTCAACGTAACCTCATGTTTCACCCCAGGAACTGGAAAATGACTTGACAAATAAACCATACCCGCCGGCATGGTTCCGAGGGTGTCTGAATCATGCTGAATGGCTTGACCCCAGATCTGTGTTGTTTTGATATCGGCCTGATCTCTTTCCCAAAGGCGGTCGACCTGGCGGTGACACTTGAAGGCGGACAGAAACGTTCTCATGTGTTAACAGAGGGGAGGCAGGAGTACCTTGAGCAGTAACACTAAAGACATACGGTAGGCCCACTCCAAGTCCCTTGTCCGGGGCGCCCCGTTCGCCCCGTCTGTCTCACTACAAAACCCAACCACCAATTCTTGTCAACCTCGCAGCGGGCCCATCTCCAGAGGCTTCCCCTTCACTAGTGTAGAGTGCGCTAGGTAGGTGTGCTCGCATGCTGTCTCCACTGACATTGCTTCCGCGATCCCGATTCCAGGTCCCGTCGGCCACGGACAACACAGGCAATAAGCCACATGACAATTACCAAGTCTTACTGGGCATTTTTACAGACCACTTCCACTTCAAGTTCTCTTACATCCCCCCGTCACCAAGAAAGAAAGAAAGAGTTGCTGGTGTGTGTCGGGAAGGCCGTCTCGAGGTTTAGGTTCCTCCGTTTGACACATCGGGCTGCCAAGGTTGAAGCAATTCTGATCCAATCGAAGCACGGGCCGAGGCTACGTACCTCTAGAGGTAGAGAGACCCAAGCTCCCGTCCCGTCTTCCTTGTTCACAAGTTCCCTTCTCCGCCAGAACTGCGGACTGCACTTCCACTGCTCTGCTCCTCCCAAGAATCTGCACCACTTTTTGCTGAATGCTTCATCTCAACTTGCAACACTGCCCTGCACCACAACACCCCCCCGAATCCTGGATCGTCGGCAGCGGGCGGGCAGTCCAGCACAGCAGCATTTCGCTCCCGCTGGTCCCTCCTTGCATTTTCACACCTCACCTACCTACCTCTACATACATTCCCTCTCCACTGCTTCTCTCTCGCAACCGAATTTGCGTGGATCGCTCGAGACCACTTTTCCCCATTCCGCCCATTTCGCTTTGTACCTGAGCCCTGGCCGTGGTCCTGAATTAGGCTCCCGGGCCCCGACTGTAATCTTGCGACTTGCACCACGAGGTCAGTCCGGACAATACCCACCCTCGTAATCGACCAAACGCCGTATCCAGATCCCTATTTAGTGGACTAGTCATCTCTACTCGTCTATACTCGACTTCATTGGCTTCGCCCATTGAGATTCCACCTAACACCAACAAACACCCCCGACCCCCGTCCTCCCCCGGCTGCGACTAGGGATTAGCACTCCGACCGCCCTACCGCCAACCCGGCTCCATCACCCTGGGAAATCCCCTTTGCTACAGACGGACCAGAAGAGTACCTCAGTACCACCACCACACGCGTTTTCTCCACCCCCCCAATGGCGACGACACTCTCCTCTGGCGCCGCCGCCGAACTCCCCATCCGATCACAGTCTGTTCGGACTCGGCGTCCCCCTACCACATCACGACCCGAGCCACCACTGCCGCGGTCCGAATCAACCAACAGAGCTGAAGCCTCGCGTCCCCACCGCCGGAGCAGTCAGCGATCTGCTTCAGGAGCCACCACAGCAGCTACCACCACCACCACCACCACCACCTCCACGGCCACATCGTCGAGACACCACCCCCATCCTGCACAGCAACAGCAGCAGTATCACCATCAGCAGCAGCCCGACATGTCCGCTGCCGCTGCTGCCGCCGCCGCTCCTCACGGCCACGCCGGCGCCGGGGACGACCATCGCAATGGCGCCGACGCCGGCGTCTCGACACACCGCAGTGCCACTGGCACTACCAAGCAGCGATACCGTACCGTGATCCCCGCGCCATCCGGTAACTATGCCTTCATCAAGACAATTGGTCAAGGTAGCATGGGTAAGGTCAAGTTGGCGAAAAAGGAGGGCACCAACGAATTGGCAAGTCAACCCATCAAATGCGACATCTCGTTTGTTCCGTTTCTGTGGCTAACTCTTTACCTTTGTTTCCGCGTGTTCAGGTCGCCTGCAAGATCATCGAAAGAGTATCGCCCGACGATGGCCGACAGTCGAGGGAAGAGCGTGAAAAGGCCGATGCCGCTAGGGAAGACCGTAACGCCCGTGAGGCGGCTATCGTCAGCCTTCTGAACCATCAGTACATTTGCGGGCTCCGCGATAACTTGCGAACAAGGTGGCATTGGTACATGCTTTTTGAATACGTTAATGGCGGCCAAATGCTGGACTACATCATTTCCCACGGTAAGCTCAAGGAGAAGCAGGCTCGCAAGTTCGCCCGCCAAATAGCCAGCGCCGTCGACTATTGCCACCGCAACAGCATTGTCCATCGCGACTTGAAGATCGAGAATATCCTGATCAGCAAGACTGGCGACATCAAGATTATCGATTTCGGTCTCAGCAACCTTTTCTCCCCAGAGGAGGATAGGAAACTCAAGACATACTGCGGCAGTCTGTACTTTGCCGCGCCTGAGCTCCTGCAGGCAAGGCCGTATACCGGACCCGAGGTTGACGTATGGAGCTTTGGTGTCGTTCTGTTTGTGTTGGTGTGCGGCAAGGTTCCGTTTGACGACCAGTACATGCCCGCTCTCCATCAGAAAATCAAGAAGGGCGCGGTTGACTATCCTAACTGGCTTTCTTCGGGTATGTTTCAACACTCAGTTTCTGGCTCCGCTCAAAGTTATGCTAACTTGGCTGTCTGCAGAATGCAAGCACCTGATCTCGCGCATGTTGGTAACTGACCCCAAGCAGCGAGCCACCATGCAGGAGGTCATGAACCACCCTTGGATGCTCAAGGGTTACAACGGACCCCCCGATAACTACCTCCCGCGCCGCGAGCCCCTGACGCTTCCCCTCGACCCCGAAGTTATTTCGCAGATGACTGGTTTCAAGTTTGGGCCTCCAGAGTATATCACAGCAGAGTTGACCAAGCGCATCAAGTCGCCCAAGTACCAGGCCGCTGTGCGCCGCCTCGAGAAGGAGAGAGAACGACCGGAACCAATCGCGAAGGATGCCGAGAAGAAGCGTGGCTTTGGTTTCGATTTCTACAAGAGAAGGAACTCGGTGACGAGCAAGGACACGCTGACTGCCGCCAGTTCAGAGGGTCTTTCCCTTGGCGATGATCCTCTTAACGCGTTCGATCCTCTTATTTCCATCTACTACCTAGTCCGCGAAAAGCTCGAGCGCGAACGCAACCACGTCTACATTGACTTGCAACAACCATCCAAGGCACAGCAGCCTCCACCTTCGTCATCACAGACAGTGATGCCAGTACCTCCTTCTCCCGTTATCCGACCAAAGGAGAAGCATTCCCTCGCCGATATCGTGCCGCCACAGCCTGTCCACAATGCTGAGCCACGGAGCCGACAAAGGACAAGGTCGCACAGTGAGGATCAGCCTAGGGAGCCCATCCAGGGTGGCCTACTGTCGCCCGATATGGTCCCCGCTAAGAAAGAGAGCACGGCCGCCGGTATCCTCCGCAGACTTAGCACCCGTGACAGGCGAAAGGAGCCTCCAGCGACAGCTAGCTCAACGGACGGCAAGCCGCCCATTCGAGGTTCCATGTCCATGCGCGCCAAGTCGCTCGGCCACGCTCGTAGGGAGTCTATCCAGATGCGACGAGCCAAGCGCGAGGCTGAGGCTGCTGCTCAGCAGGCTCAATCACAAACCACAGAGCCACAAAGAAGCTACCAGAGCCACCACCACTCTGTCCGCGAAGAGACGGATGCTGAGCTGGTGGATAGCGACATAAGAGGCGAGACCTCGGGTGGTTCCAACGAGAGGCTAGAGCCCGAAGATCCCGATCTGGTCAAGCCTGTGTTCCTCAAGGGTATCTTCAGCGTATCCACAACCTCGACCAAACCTCTCTCAGAAATACGAGCGGATATTAAGCGAGTGTTGCGGGTGCTTGGCGTGGGGTTCAATGAGATCAAGGGTGGCTTCAGCTGTCGCCACACACCCAGCATCAACCACGCTGAACGCCAACCGACGGTGATGACCGAAGGCGGCAACGAGATCGAATTCGAGATCTTGATCGTCAAGGTTCCGATTGTCAGTCTCCACGGTGTCCAGTTCAAGAGGCTCGCCGGAAACACATGGCAGTACAAGGCCTTGGCGGAGCAGATCGTCAGGGAGCTGCGACTATGATGGGCTGGCTGATGGATTGAAATTTGTTGGATTATACTGTAAGACTGCTGGCATGGAATGACGACAGCATGGGAAGCGAGCGATTGGTTTGCAGTATCCCTGAGGGTGAGCAAAATGTACTTTTGATGATTTGACAGTCTGGGTGTTCTACGTTGGTTGGGGGAGTTACCTAGCTACCTGAACCTTACCCCTTGACTGTCTCGCTCAGCCTTGAAACGCGGAGTCCTAGGTCTGAGACCGGACTTCTACTCTCTCTTGCAAAACAACAAAACAAGAAAGAACAGGGACAGGTGTCACAAAGGGGGGAAAAGGAAACAGGAATCATATTTGCGGGTTGTTCTTATTTCATGTACTTTGCGCGCGCAGCACTCTCGCTTACACTCTCACTCTCACACATTCTAGACTGGTGATTGGTCTGGTTGGTCGGTCGTTTTTTTCCTCACGGTTGGGCTTGTCACTACTTACATACTGATGTCTGATTTTTATACGCGTCCCTTTTTTTTCCCCGCGTGGCATGGCAGCAGCAGAAGCAGCAAAGAAGATGTGGCTTGATTTTTTTGTTTTGTTTTTGTTTAGTCCTCTGGCTTTTTAGGAAGGAAAGAGAGACGGGAGGGGGAGCGGCTTTACCGGCTTACGCTCACTCTTATATTAACACTTAATACTTCTTTTTTAATCCCTATCAACACTACTGCGCTGATGTACACTTGGGTTTTCTTTCTATGTACATGTAACTTCGATAAGGTAAAGCAAAGGATTTTTTGGGTAGTAAGTGTGAAAAAAGGAAAAAGTCTCATATGAGGAACCAACCTGGTCGGTGATGTGATCAAGTGAGGGAGGGCATTGTGAGGTGATATGATTTCGGACACTCATTTTTTTATGGACAATGTTTGTGGTTATCCCCAATTTGAATCCCCATCCGCATCCTAATACCGCCCAACCAGCCCAACGAGCCGCTTCAACCAATGTCCAGATATTGGGAAAGACGCCACAGATCCAGACCAAAGTGACAAACATCCTCTCCAGCCTCGAACATGTTTGAGTAAGGTACTAGTCAACCCCTGCCAACGCTCACCACACCTCAGCTTTCCAGGTTTCCTCCCTGGCCAAACTCACTGGTTCACCGGTTCACCAGCTCATCGGGTACCAGATACAATAGACACCGTGTATCTGAATCCTACTCCATTACCTCCATTTCTTCTTCTCTCAGGTACTCAGATTTACTCGTCTCGCCCTCTTCTCCCTTTTTCCACTTTTCTTTTACCACAGTCATGAATCTTTCTTTGTGATCTTGGATATTACTGAGACCAGTCCGTGTTCTTTCCTCTTCACTCATATCCCCACTTTCCTCGCCGAGGTAATTAAAGTAATCCAGAATTCAAGGCACTGCATCAACATCTTGTCCTGTCACGTCAGCCTACCATACCTCTCATCCATATTTACATCCTTTATGATTTTGGTCCCTCAAGAACGCATGCTATTTATCTTACGTCTGACACCCGGACCTTGTCTTTCTCTCTTCTTTCTATCATAAAACCATTTTGTATTTGGCTATGCATTCCCAACGCCTAGACCGTTGTGCAACAAACCACTACGTAAAGTATATCAAGAAAATTCATCACCAACGACCCGTCTCGGTCTACAAGGTGGCGGTCAGGGATGTCGACGTGCACGTACTCTTCGACACTGTATCAAACTTGTTGTTTGTACACTTGATTGTTTGATCATTCGTTCTATGGCCCTTTGAGTTCCTTTGTGGCAACAAGGTAATGTATGTCACTACATATTTACCTCTACCTACCTCGGCATCACAATGATGATCTTGGCCGGGTAGGTAGGTAGGTAGGTAGGCACTTAACTCACAGCACCCCCCAGTCTTTATGAACAATTCAGGTATTGTGCAGCTGGTCTGATCTTGCAAGATCTGTTCCTTGAGTGAATGCTTCCTATTTCGGAGTGTCAATGACTTTCTCCTCCACTTCACAGATCAGCGGCAGGTTGGTCACGCTCCGAACACGCGCAATCACGTACCAACAGGGCGGCCTTCTCTTTCTTTTGTTTCCTAAGAAGACAGAGGTCATGGCTTAGGCATGCGCTACAGCTCTCACTTGCTGGGACATCGAGACGAAGGCGCTTCGAGCCTTCAACAGGCAGGTAGTTATGATCTTAAGCCCCGGTTAGTAGGCTGTTGTTCTGAAGCTGAATGAACAACCAGATTACCAACGAGATGAGCAGCTCGGGCGTTTTCTTGATCATCGAGTCTCCGTGACAACCTCCGTCATCGAGTGACATGAACGATGAACGAGCTGGATATTTCCGAAAGACGAGTGTTCACCAACATCATTACCTGCTTTCCGCCTTCTTTGATCATGGAGTCTTCAACGCAAGATTCCAGCCGCCCATCCTCGAGAACCACCGGTCCGTTGGTGATATTCTATTATCGGTTTGGCCACCGCGAGAAAACCGACGATGTTGGAGGTTTCCTCGTTGACCTGTTGGAGATTTCTTCATTGATCTCTGCGCGTAACGCAGCGAACATCCTCGACAGCCTGATGTCTCTCGAGTACAAAATGAGCAGGCCTCTCTCACCAGACAGTTTGATCGTGAGAGAAGCAGATACATCCAAATACGAAACTCCTGAATACCTACTACCTAGCTGGTCTATTCTCTACAAGCTCTCTCGAAACCTTTGATCCAAGCAAGTAAGCAGTTTCACTCCTCAACAGCTGAGGAGAGCCCTCACCTCACCTTGTAGAATCAACACATCAAGTTCACCCACTCATCCTTCATGTTTTACAGACTCATTCCCTTCAACAACCCATAAGAAAAAATCACAAACCCCCGGCAAGCCAACAGCATCCACTACACCATGTGCAGATACATCCTTTACCCCGGCAGTTACTGGCACCAGTGGGATCCTCACGACATACAACACTATAAGGCCGGGACCCAGTGCTTGCACTATAAGGAATACAAGGTGGCCCAGGAGGTCACTTACGACAAGAGATACGAACGCTGCACCTGCGACAAGCAGGTGCCAGTGATACCAGCGGGGAATGGTGGTGCGCCAACCGTGCACGTTCCGTGTGTGAAGTGCATAGAGAAGGAGTATTGGACTAAGAACCATGGTACGACCCAGGTCCCGTATCACGGTAAATTACCTGTACCTACCTCTACCTAGAGGTGGGTACCTCTAGGTTGAGCCAGCCAGCCAGCCAGCTAGTCCTTCATGGCTGGCTACCTCATTCTAGATGGCCTGATTATTGGGTATTGATTGGACTTGATGGCTTCTGAGGTTGGAAAGTGAGGAAGGATAGATATGGTGAGGCTTTTGCGAGGTTTTTCACTTGGTACCTACTTTGGCTTTTGTTTTCCTTCTTTGGGAGGGAATGGAGGTGGAAGTGGAAGTGAAGTAACTGAGACGCTGGACGGTAGCTTCATCCGCAGCTGGGATATGATATGATATGGACATGGACATGGACACGGGCAGGGGGTAGTATAGGAAGAAGAAGAGTAACTCGGAGATTGGGTTTGGATAGGTATCTTTCAATCACTCAGTTAGGGGCAAACTAAGCCTAATGGCTAACAAGTTGGTCGTATCGGGTCGAGAAGAGGGAGTGTCTGATGTCGGTTATGTTGCTTGGGTTTCATGCCCACAAGGGAGATGAGGGGAAACCTGGGAATAAAATCTTACTTATTGGTGAGAGTAAACGACAATTCACTCATTTTTTGCTCTGTCAATGTATGACTAATTCCGCTGGGCGATTGCTGTGAAATTCTACCTAGTGACCTTCACGATTGCTCACTCGGCTACCTTATCGTAGGCCGTCTCGGTCATTTTGGAAGTGGATGTCAATGTGAGGCGTGCTATGTTGCCTTTGTCTCCCAGCACTTCGAGGTGTGGTCAAGGTGTCTTCGCTGCTCATCCTTAGCTCCCTCGGGTAGTGTGTACTTGCAGTCCCCTTCTGTGAGAATGAATGGTATATCTTCATAATCAAAAATAATGTAGAAGTATAACTCATACGACAGTATAAGACGTGAACAAATCATGACAGCAGACATTATGAGGGAAGAAGGAACGCGCAACATGTCTTTCGGTTTCCAAGCCAACAGAAACCCCAATCCAGAACCTGACAAAATCATCTACGTACATGTGTAACCCAGTGGAAAACATCGTTGATATCCCCAATGTCAAACAATGGTAATAACCTTGTGGTCGTCTGCTGCAGCGATGAGACCTGACTTGAATTTTTCCATCTTCCTCCGGGATCCGGTATCAAGGTGATATTTGACAAGGCCCAGTCTCTCATACATCCCGGGTTTATCGCTTGACAAACCTAATCCCAGGAAGTTAAAACCTGCCTCTGAACGTCGAGGGGAAATCAGACATCCAATCAAGAGCAAATATACAACAGCGCCGTCCTTGATCTTGGATGGGGAGGGCTCATTGTCTTGTGGAGGTATGACCGAGGGTTGGCGCTTTCGACGAACAGATCTCTCCAAGTTGCCATGTTCGTTTGTGGCTTGAAATTCTTCTAGCCAGGTGTCATGAACTAAAATTTTTCTTCCAAGATATTTGGTCAAGACTGTGTACCTGTGGGTGATAGGTTGACTCGGGTCGTCGACTAAAGTCGCTCTGAAAAGATAACCGCGGAGTTTGATCCAGCCATCTTTCACCCGACCCAGTGGATCTTTGCCATCGGCAATGGAGCAAGTATCTTCGACCACAATGTGAGAGACCCATCTATCACGTACGTCTAAGTCCCCAGGCTCAAACATCGTTCCAACCGGCGAGGATATGGACGCCCAAGAGAAAGTAGGCGCTATGTAAAGCTCGGGAGCATATCTTGCGTCAAAAACCCCCCATAAGAGCCCCAAAGACAGTCGGTCTTCCCAAATGCCTGCGATATATGGAGACTGTATGACTTGCTGAAAGACTTGCGCGAGACCAGAAATTGCGGGTAGCTTGTCACGGGCATCGGTAAGCTCGCGGGCAGTATAGTCATTAACAATACGGTGCCAATGCTTATGTGCCAGCTGGGCAGATTCTAATCTGTACGTGGGCGAGTCCATCGGGTCTTTAGCCAGTAACGTGCAACTCAAGTCGGAACGACATTGGCACGCCGATTTATTTTGGCAAACCCAGCGAAGCTCGTAAGCGTGATATTTGAGCAATCTTGTCGAGAGAAACTGTTCCTGCAACGTCCACCCGCGACGTTTCCAGGGCAGCACAGGAACCCGATGTTCATCGGCATGCCCAAAACCTTCGTGTATCCGTCGGGCGCCTAAAATGGTCGAGCAAGCTTCCTGATTGATCCATTCCTCTTGGTATGGCTCCTTGTACCAAAAATTTGTTTCCCGGTAATTGCGGGATAAAAACCCCTGAGTAACGTCGGAGGCAGTAGCAGCAGCAATAGTTAGATAGGCATCACGGTATACCGAGGCCATCTTTGACGATTCCACTTCCCAATCGCTTGGAGAATTTTGGATAATGCACAAAGCGTCTACCCATAGGTACTGTTGGCCTAGCGCTCGGGTGACGGCGATGGCATCTTGTAACGTCTGCGGCAGACTGGAGACCATAAGACCCAACTTCATGACCTCCAGGTTCTCAGACTTCAGCGTCAAACTCTGCCGTCCACCCCAGCAGTAGCTAAGGGCTATGTAGGTCGTGTTGTGCCCCACAGGAAGCGACTCCGTCTCGACCAGTTTCACTTGCTGAGCGCCTTCATCCTGTATGTCTAACAGCCGAGTGGGTAGTCCTTGACCTGCTATCTTGCATTCCGGGTGGTTGGCGTCGCAGTCTCGTAGACAGGAACGAATAAACTCGTAGGCTTCAGATGTCCGAGGCGAGCCGCTCAGAACGGCGTCAAGGGGATTGGCGTCTTGAGCAATACCGTGCCAAGCTGGCGGATGCCCTAAACGCTTTGGTCTTAGCACTTTTCTCTCGAAGGAAGAACCTACACCTACCAGTTGGTGTGTACAGCTCAAGCTGAACACGGAAATCCCAGGACGTCAAATAATAGCGCCCTTTACGCCTGCTGAGCTTGAAATGACAGTGCAAGCCTTCCATCCAGTCGAAGTGCTTCAGAGCGTTGTGCAGAAAGATGCAATAACGGCACCCTAAGCTGGCTGAGAAGCCAATTCCGTCACAGCTGGCCTCCTTACCATGGGGGAGCCATAAGTTCTTGCACCTCAGGCAGTACTTCGTCAGAGTAAATATGCCTGGTGCAGCGGCATCCTTGAGGCGTTCCCGTAACATCTGTATATCGTAACGTAAATGATACATTTTGCAAGTCTAATAGGGACAATCGAAGACAAAAAGATAGAGATGAAGGGTCTGGGGATGGAGAAGACATCGTAAGGATGACTGACCGACTCTCAACTACTCAAGATGCTCTCTCCACCTACTGTGCTTCAGGCTTCAGCTGACTCTCCACCTCAACATGCCTCGCGCCCAATCAAGGAATCCGATGCCATTGTAGCCTCTGATGTCAAAGCTAGGTCGCTGCTGACTGGTGATAAAAGTCGTGGCGCTGCAAGTGCTGCCAAGTCATCGAACTCGGTTACAGTCGTATTCGACGAAGGATGAGATACAAGCTAACAGGATTTGGGCCAAAGGTTTTGTTGAGTTGTATCGCTACGAGAAAATGCCCGAGAAGGAGGGAGAAAAAAAGAAAAAAAGAAAAAAAAGAAAAAAAGAAAAAAAGACAAGAAGAGGTAGAAAAGTGAAACAGAACAGCGTCCCTCTATCTTCCGTTCAGTTCCGTCAAGATCCACGATAAATCAGAAGTCGCGAACAACCTGATCTACCCACCTCGTCTCCAAAAATTGCAGACAGCAACACTACAGGATCGAATCATCACCAACAACAAGAATAACAACCACCAAAAAAAAAAAAAACCTTGCGCGTAAGAGATTCCCAAATAAGAAGATGGAAGAGCGAAAAAAGATGAAAAAAAGCCAAAAGAAATGGTTATCGAATGCCCACAGCCAGAATCGAACTGACGACCTCATCATTACTAGTGATGCGCTCTACCACTGAGCCATGCGGGCGGGGATTTGATTTGTTGAAAGCGATGACCGAGCCATTGCCTCAAGAACCCTGCTAGCAATACCATCAAGTCTGACACAACAACAATCGGTAGACGGGAGGGAAGGTTCGGGAATTCAAAATGCGGAATGATGAAGTGTTGGAGTAATCGGTGATGTAGAAGATGCGTAAAAGATAGATGCGCTTTTCTGCGGCTCCACTCAAAATGGTTTCCGTATCAGATAAAACATGAAGATACCCGACGATCGAGCGCGAAATGATGCCCTTCCCCCTGAACCGGTAGCTTCGAGATTTATTTTTCTAGTCCTTGGTATCAAACACTTTACACCAATCCAACAAACACAATGCCTAACAATGACTACAACACCATACATAACCTTGAAACCTCACAGCCTCACCTCCCCATCCCAGGCCTTTGCAATCCCGGTCTCCCCATCGTACTTCCGTTCCCACCACCCCCACCACCAACCCCTGAACCTCCAGCCCGATTCATAGTCAAAGGCTTAAAAGGCTTCATCAACCTCTCCATCGGTTTAATTGTCCCCATCCCCTCCGTCCCACCCAACCTCGCCAACCCCACCGGCTTCCTCACCACTCCCGCCGCCCCTCCTCCCGCTTTCCGTTTTCCAGGGTACCCACCCAACCCCGTCGGCAAGACATTATGGCAAGTAGTCACATGTAAACTCCCCGCCGGCCTCGTAGGAGTAGGCGGCTGTTCGTTTTCCTCCGCTTCGTCTTCGTCTCCTCCTGCCGCTGATTTTGGCGGAGCCGATATGGTATCGTCGGGTTCAGGCCTCGTGGGCGAGCTCGAAAAACAGACATATTGCTTTTTATAGTGAAAAGATGACGCAGAAGAGGAATCTTTGGATGGTTGTAGAGAAGGAGGACGAGTGACGTTGAGATTCAGACCACGACTGCTTCCCAGCCTATGGGAGGCAAGTTCAGGGGCTATACCTGTGGTAATGGCGGGGACAGAGGGTTTAGAAGGGTGGCTTTGAGCTCTTTGGAGGCTGCCAGCGCTAGTGAGGGTTCGGGCTGAGGGGTTGTGATTGTGGTTTGAGGGGTGGGATGGGTTACGGGATAAGCCTGGGTTGGGGAGACGGGGAGTTGGGACAGAGGGACGGTTGGTGGTGGTAGAGGCGGAAGTGATGGATGAACCGGCACCGGTGGCGGGCTCGAAATTGTTCTTAACAAATCCGAGAATGCTCTTTTGGTCGGCTGGTCGCTTGTTCGTACCTCGCTTGATGCCTGATGAAGCTGAGGCCTTGTTGGCTCTGGCTTCCAAGGCGGCAGCGGCGCTGGCGTTGGCCGCTGCGGTGATAGCTGCTTGATGGACGGCTGCGTTGACAAAGCCAGGGAGGGAAGCCATGGTGAAGGTTGACGCTTGGTCCATTGTGGTAGCGTGTGGCTTTGCCCATTGAGGTTCTTCGTGTCCGTCTCCAGTTGATATCGCCACTGGGTTGTAGAGCTTGGGACGTTTTGATCTTGACGAGTCAAAGCCCTGTCCACTTTCTTGGAAAGCCTCGTCTGGGTCGATGGGGTACATGTTATCCTCGGTATGGGACATGTTGGGGATCCCCTTGAAGATTTCCTTTTCTGAAGGTAGCTCGCGTTGGAGCACCTTGGCGATATGGGTCATGAGTGGCCGTTCGAAAGTAGGGCCCTTCTTTGCGAAGGAATTGGCGACGGGAGACACAAACGAAGACAGTTCGGTACGTTCGCTACTCCCTGGACTGTTATACACCGGATAGCTGAGGTATAGCAAGGATTGAGCCCGTGTCATGGCGACGTATAGCAATCTTCGCTCTTCATCTCCGTCTTCGGACCGCATATGCGGGATAGAGCCATTGTAGACTGCTGGTATGAAGACAATAGGCCATTCAAGACCTTTGGCAGCGTGGATAGTCGAAATGGTAACCAGTGGCTTACTCTCCTCACCCTCTTCTCCCTTTTGAGCATCGGAGGCGAGTGACACATTGGCCAAGAATTGCGGGAGAACTTCCTCCTCCTTTGACTGTTCAAGCCCCTCGATTTCTGGAAGAGCATCCTCGCCAGACCTGTGTAGGTCTTGCACAAAGTCATTGGCAAGACTAATGAACTCCTGGACGTTGGCCCATCTTTGCTCGTGGTCATCAGGATATGTAACTTGAAGGTAATTTTGGAAGTTCAAGGCTGTTAGCAAATGCTCAATCAAATCGACCAGGCCAAAAGGGTTGCTCTCTGCAGCATCTTCCATCTTCTTCCGTATCCCATTCAACATGCGAATCAGTTCACCACTAATTTTCTGTTCGGCATGCTTGGTGATCTTGGTCTTGGCAGTACGGTCCCCCCGGCAATGCTTGACAAGGAGACTGTAAAGACTGAGAGATGACTTCTCTGCTTCTTCGATAAGGTTTTTAACAGTGCCGTCGCCTATGCCTCGCTTGGGAACGTTCATGATCCTCCCAAACGCATCATTGTTGTCGGGCTGATGGATGACTCGTAGATAATCAAGAATAGTCTTGATCTCTGAACGCTCGTAAAACTTGAAACCGCCAACCATGCGGTAAGGAATTCCTGCTTTGCCGAGGACACTTTCGACGTGCCTTGACAGCGATGCTGAGCGCAGAAGAATAGCCACATCGTTATGGGTCAGCATTGACCCCGACATGAGAAGCGCACGGCGTATCTCGGCGACGATCCACTCTGCTTCGGTGGAAGCGTTTTTGAGTTTGCGCAAGACAGGACGGGAGCCTCTGTCATGGACTGGTTTCAAGACCTTTTGATATCTTTTCTTATCCTGCTGAATCACTAGCAGTGATAAGTCGAGGATAGCTTGGGACGAGCGGTAGTTCTCTTCGAGCGAAATCTCGTCAGTTTTCGGATAATCGCGGAGAAGTCTCCACAAGTTCTTGATCTCGGCCGAGCGCCATCCGTAAATACTCTGATCTGGGTCGCCGACAATTGTAATTCTTTGATGCTTTTGGGCAAGCAGTCGCATAAGCTCGTATTGCACGCCGTTCGTGTCCTGGTATTCGTCGATCAGGACCGTCTGTATATTAGACACACAAGATGGGAACTTGCGAAGAAGTTCCACGCACCGGACCAGCAGATCGTCATAGTCTAGCAAGTTTGATCGTTCCAAGTGCGTCTGGTATTCGGTATAGCACACCTCCAGATCCCGCTGACCTTGCTGTATCGGCTGCTTCTTTGGCGGTAGGGGCAAAGAGGAAGGACTGGGTTCCATTCCCTTGGCTTTCTTCTTGCTTATCCAGGCCTTTGCCATTGGTGGATCAAGACCCAGTTGTAGCCTTTTGCATATTCTCGTGATGATGGATCTCGAGTCGTTATCGTCGGCAATGCTGAACTTTTCGCTCAGTCCAATGTGGCGGCCATACGCAGCAAGGTAGCGTCGAGCAATGCTGTGGAATGTGCCCAGAATGATCTTGTTTTCGCGGCCGTTTCCCAGAGCCTTTCCAATGCGCTCCTTCATTTCCCGCGCAGCCTTGACGGTGAATGTCGCGACAACGACATCTTGTGGTTGGTAGCCGACATGGTCCACCAACCAGACCACTCGGGAGGTAAGGGTGTGTGTCTTTCCGCTGCCTGGGCCGGCTAATATAGCGACAGTGGCAGCATCCGAAGTCACGGCGCGTGCCTGGGCATTGTTTAAGCTGTCGAGGATGGAGTGTTTTGGCGGCGCGGAGGGAGGAGACATGGGGAGCGAGGAAGGGACTGCAAGAGCAGCGAGATTGAGCAAATGTTGTATGGTGATTGGACCGGCATTGGAGCCCAGCAGCTCGAAATCTGCAAAATTCGGGCTAGTTGCTGTGCCTGTACAGGTTCGTTGCAGTTTGTTGCCGGCGATTGTCAAGTGGAATTCGCGAACGACAACTGAAGCGGGTCGCGCCGTCAAGGTGCCTGGCTCCACTATCGCTGCACGAAAGCATGTGACTTGTTGGAGGTCCAGTATGACTGATTCATCTCGCATATAACCCTAACCCTTCCCCGGCATGGCCTGACCCCCTCAATCGCTGTCACCGCCAAACAAGACGCCAAGCACTCGAGACTTTTTCAATTCCCAAATTCCACAGAACCAACTCTTCAGACTCGGCCACATACTGAACCAAAAGGTCCAACTCTTTGCCCGAGAGAGCCCTCCTTCAAACACCTTCACGCACCCTCTCATCATTTCAATTGACCGAGATCCTTTAACTCCCTCAATTGCCCAGGACCCCGTTGGCAATCACCATGGATCAAGCAGACCTTGTCAGGTGTCGGACCGTTGCATTGCATTCCAACATCTCATATCGGCCCTCTTTCAAGTATCGCGCAATATGTACGATCGCAAAGCCTAACCCCTCATCCCCGGTTCACATCGTAACTCGACTATCTCGGCCACGATGGACGGGGCACAAACTCCATTCCACCGAGCATCATGGCTAAAAGGGCGGCATAGGGCCCGAGGTATACTCACGTTGACAGCATGAACTCCTTCCTTCACGGCTTTGTTTGTTGAAAGCGATCCGGGCGTCTAAGATATCAAGCTCAATGGACATGACCCTCCGTGATATAGCTGACGGGATTGTGCTATTGATCAGGATCAGTTCGGAGCCTAGTGCCAGATTTAACCAACAAATGGCATCAGCACATGCGGCTGACGTGAAATAGTGATCTTCACCTGCTGCTGTGTGATTGTTAGTCAAAGTGACTGCCCATCCACCAAACCCAAGGCAATAGCATGGTGGATAGAGCGCTCCTTTTATCAAAAACCATCGGCTGCTCCTTTCACTAGTGGTGTCGTGACTTTGATCACATGTGCCCATCACTGTGACTTTCTCAGTCCAACTGCCGTCACTGGTAACCATCCCAAGTTCTGGACCCATCGCGGCGGTAACGAGGCTCGAACACTGCAAGGTACGCCTCGTCGTTGGAGGGCCTGTCAAGGCTAGCCATGCACGAGTTTCCATGCTGGGAAAAGGCGGTGGGTTTGGAAGAGTTTATTTTTCACAGAATGGGGTCCAGGGACAAGACAGATCAAAATCCAAAAGAGAAACACAGGCCAAGGACGGGACGCGGGAGCGGCACCAATCGCCAGGGGTCAACAACGGGGTGGAGGCGGAGATAGACGACCTTACCGGCGTGGTCACCATGTGCCAGCCAATCGCGTCGAGTCCCTTGCCGCTCGCCCTCCGGTGCTGTCAAGTCCACCCGACCAATCACGTCTCATACAAGCGTAGCACCACTTCTTGTGCTCACCAAGACCCCAATCAACATGACCGATTCTCTCTCTCTTTGGGGCCTCCATCCAAAGCTATTTTTGACGGTCATCATGCGGGAATCACGAGTGAGAATGCAAGTGGAAGAGGTGCCTGAATCCGGCCCGTACGCCAGTGGCCAATCCGCTCCCAAACTGACCAAAGTGCTCGTCTACTCGACACATGCTTCACGACCCTTCCAACCCGGATTGTGTCAACAGCCGCTACCACAGTATATACCCAGACGTTTGCCTCGACGCCCCTCCTCCCGTTGACCTCCTGTTCATGCGGATGCTGTGCTGGTCCATATCACATTGCGTTTCACTCTAGCGGATACTCTGCCTGAGGGATCGACGGTTCCCAAAAAGGCCAGCAGCTCAGAAAAGGAACTATACTCCCCGGTATCCGGCCTCATCTCATCATGCCCCTTGGTATCAGGACTTTCATCAGCAGAAACAACATCAAGTATAACTCGGCCTGGGTCTTGTCACTCCTGGCCACATCACTCGTTCTCACTTGGCCTCATCTCTGCCTCGCCATTCCTTTACCTCAGCCTAACTTGTCTCCGAGAGGCAACAACAACCCATTGAACATCGATTGGGATCCCGCTCCGGCACCAGAAGACGGGCCCCCATTGTCACGAGGTGCTATCCGTGACCCGGCCTATCTCCCAGCACAGATTGGCGGCATTGTTGGTTCGTACGCGGTGTCGTTGGTCATTGTCGCCACCCTTCTTCTTGTGCTTTCCAAAGGACGGCGTCAAGCTTTGATCAACGCCGACCTTCCAGAAGAAGACAAGTACCTCGACTTCAACCCTCTCCCGGCATATCTTCAGCAGAGCGAGGAGGAATTCAAGCAGACACTTGCGCAGTTCCATCAACAAGAACTCGGAGAGCACTTCCTCCAGCAGCAAGAGGACGGACAAGTCCCGCCACCACTTCCTACGCTGCAAATCCCACCGAGCCCATACAGGAACTGGGGATTCAGAGAATCACCACTTAGCGCCAGCAGATCACACTCAGTCATCTCTGCTGGGTCACCAACCTCGACGGTTCTCGCATCCGGTTACGATCTTTCAGTCGACCAGACGGTGATCCAACACGACAGAGCCATGGCGCAACAACAGCTAGAAGAGATGTACAGGCATGTGATGGAGCAGGAGGAGGCAAAGGCAGAGGGGAGGCAGTACATACCACCAAACCTACCAAGGCCCTCGGTGTCATCATTTGCTTCCCAGCAACCACAAGCCTCAGCAACACCAGGAACTGTCCGCAAGAACAAGCCTTCCAATCTCAACCTCTCCAAGGAAAAGGAGGAGAAGCAATCCCGCGGCGCCTCTTTCCTCAACTTTCTCAAATCCCCCAAGAAGAACAAGGCGCCCCAAGGCCTCTCCATCTCCTCGCCCATCATGACCCCAATGTCCGGCACTTTCCCCCGCGGCTACCACCCGGACGTTGACGGGCAAGAGATGAACTCGATCCCTCCGCGTCACTACGCCCCGGCCAAACCACCTCCCATCCCCTCGGACGTGCTCCCCTTCCGCCGTCAACAGGCTCAATACCCCAGCCCCGACATCTCCCCCGTAAGCACTCAGTCCATCGACCAACGCATCGACGTTGCCCTCCACCATCCTGCAAATCACGGCGAGCGCGAAGGAGCCCGCCCAGACGAGCGTCTCCCCTCGCACATCCGCGACCCCTCAGCAGCCTCCCACGCCTCTTCCCTCACGGGCGACGCCTACCTCGCCGACCCGCCCTCTGCCGTCTCTGACCGGTCCACCTCGGGTCTCGTCTCCTCCGGCACCGTCGGCCTCCCCTCCTCCCCTCGCCCCGGCGTCAACCGCTTCCCCTCTCTCGACTCAACCCGCACTCTCCCCGCGACTCCCAAACCCGGTGCTTCCTTCTCCTCTTCCCGCTCTGGCGCCTCCTCAACTGGAAAATCCAGCACTCTCCGCCCCAACGCTCCCGCCCCTCTCAACTCTTTAAGCGGGAACGCCTCCGCCTCCTCATCTGCCGTCCGCGCCGGCGGCGCTCTGCCCCTGCGCGCTTACGAGCCTTCCCTCGCTAGCCCCACCAGCGGGTCGCAGACAACCAAACAGACGGTATTTACCCGCCAAGTACCGGGGCCACTGAGCCCGGGCACTGCTGGCCTCAGAACGCCGTGGACGGGCGCGCCCGTGCCGTATAGTCCGTACCAACCCTTTTCGCCGGTGGTGCCAATTACCCCGTCGTTGGTGACCAAGGCGGATAGGAAGAGGATGAAGAAGTTTGAGCCCAAGACGCCGACGGTGGAGATGGTGAGGAGTGAGGAGGATATTTGGTAGGTGTGAGTAAAAGATGGGAATTTGAAGAAAACAAAAGAAGAAAAAAAATTGCATGGTACTGGAATTTGGTTCTGAAATCTTTAGGGTGGATGGATGGTAGCATTGGACGGAAAGATTGGGGGTAAAAAACATGGATGGTGATGGATAAGGTTTAAGTGGCATGATGGATGGATGGATGGCATGGACGGTGATGGTGATGGTGATGGTGATGATAAAGCAGGATCTTCTTTTTTTACCCTTTTTGGTTCTCCCTTTTTTTTTGTCTTTCTCTTCGATGGGTTGTGCATACGCATAACCGATATACCAATTTTTCTTCTTGGGAATTTTCCTTGATGGACAAGGTTAATTTGATACCTGGGTTTTACACTTCACCTATGTGTCCATCAGCTGCGATGTCATTTGTAATGGTGATGAAGTAGGGAATGGTGCTGATTGCCTGAATGACTTGAATTAGGGATGATACTCGACTTGTTTCATCTCACTGTTTCGAGATTAGTGATGTCGGACCGGGTTCCGGTTGCTTGGTGGTGTTTGGAACGGGATCATGAAGTCACGTACCTCCATAGGTACGTGTGGAAGGTGCACCCCGCCCTGGAGCTTCCGGCATGACTCTTATATCTTTTCCTTCCAACCAAGGCACCAATCCAGCATTCTCCACCATCTACTCACTCACTTTATTGCGCTTGCGAATGTCCCGAGGTTCGCCGCCGCCTCCTTCGGTATTGCCTTGACCAGCTTGACTAGTGCATTGATTTTCTAAATCCTGTTGTAAGCGGTCATCACTACTACAGGTAGGTACTGCATCTGCGCAGTCAAGCCTGCGAGAGCCAACTTAAGTCACCTTACCCTACGACTAGGGACTGTTCACATGAGCCCGGGCCCTGCTGCCAGCGAACTCTTCGACGGCGCGGGTGGCATATCGATCGATCCCAGTCCCCGAATTCCCGCCGGAGGTACTTCTAGCCACGGAATTGGGCCGATGACAAAGGTATAGTCAGCTGACAACGACAACTTCAAATGTTTGAGTATTGTGATAACCTTGTACAAGCTGAAATGTACCGACCCTAACCCATCTGCATTTCGGTTCCGCAAACTCCATGGTACTTACTATATTAATTTCGCATGAAGTCCTTCGTA